GTCCCTAAACCTTACCTTTCCACTGCCACTGTTCCTACAATATATTTATGTCTCAATCTGTACTTCTACTTTAGATAATCGGACCTGATCATCTCTTCAACCCTTTAAAGTCATGACAACCCTAGCTTTGCTGGCCTTTAACTCTTTCACTATTGATGTAACAGGAAGTTGTAGTTGGGCTGATCTGCAATACAAGCCGATTGATGTTAAGCTTACTTGGTATACCCCAAACCATTTCCTGACGTGTTTATTGATGATTCTCTCCAATTTCTCAACTGTTGATGTTGATATCTCGTACAGCAATGCATCAATGGCTATGCTATGCGTGGTTACAGAGGGCATGTTGGTAAATCCATACTTTGAATTTCCCTGGCAATACTGTTTTGTCTTTGTTCCTCATCATCTTTTCCATTACTAGTTGTTCTATTTTTTGAATGTTGGATTTATCTCCAAGTGTTTCGTCAAACCATTTGCCTAAGCACTTTATAGGGTTTCCGATAATAGAAGGAATATCCCTGATTGTTAGCTCGATCTTCTGTGTAACTTTCCTCCCTTTCTTTATTACACGTATCACGGATCTTGACTTCATAGGTTTAGAAGTCAGTCTTGCCCATGCTCTTTAGCAGCCATCCTGCTTGGATATGGGTACCTGTTGTTATTGTAAGATCATCCATGGACCCTCTGTTTGGTTGTTTCTGATGTTGTTTGATGTCTTGGGACCTCTGGTTATGACAATGATTTTGCTTATACTTTATTTTTAAAATCATTTTTTTCCAACTTATCTGCAGCACAATAAATTTTAACTATCATTTTACATGACCATATTTGCTGCATGGGAAAGCAGATTAAAAGATCTCGTAAAGGTTTCGTACCCATATAGAATGTCAATAATGGATCAACTGAATGCTAACTAATTTTCAAATTAATCAAAAGCCAATTGCTCTGCTTTTGCATTAATTGCCATATGCCAGCACTGCCAGCCTACATTTACATGAAGTAACGCTTGCAAGAACAGCACAGAACAATGTGACAGATGCTTTTGTGGTTTCTTTAAGGAGTATTGTGAATCACCATGTCCCAATACATGTTTGGCATGTACTGCTGTACGGTTTGATGAGAAATGCAATTTCAAATGTTTGTACTGTTTTTATGTCACAAAGACTCTGTAGCATGTTCATCATGCTGGCCAAACTATTGGGGACAAAAATGCGTGAAGAGATATGTCACGTATGTAGCACAGACAATGGTAGTGTATTCATTGTGCTCAGGCCGGGATATTTTGGAGATACATGTAAGAGTAATAAGTACTAATCAATGTGGTCACTGCCGGTGTGGTCTTTGTGACAGGGCTACCGAACGCTGTCAGTTTGGGTGCAGAGATGGGTTTTATGGTCAATCATGTGAAAATCCATGTCCTCTAAAATACATGGTTTATAACCAAACTGATGGCCAGTTTGAAATATTCATTGAATCTGTGGGGACATTGGTTAAATTACAGATGTCCCACCAACTTTGTGTTTTGCAAAATATCGACAGGATATTATGGACATCAATGTGATAAAACATACCCTTCTCACTGTGAAGTCTGCAATGCTTCTACAGGTGAGTGTCGGAAGTGTATTGTATAATTGCCAAGAAACGTGTTGGCACTGTAAAAATTTGGCTTGTCAAATGGATACAGGGTTCCGTTGTGTGAAGACGGATGGGTTGTGGATAAATGTGACGAAAAATGCATGCCCAACTGTTTCTTGCTTTTTGAAGATGAATGCTTTGCATGTAGTTCTGGGTTAAATGTGTTTGTGATATCAAATGTCCTGAACGTTGGTCTAGTTGATATCAGGATATATAATATAAGAAATTTGTTTGAAAGTTCTGTGGATATAGCAAATCTTAGAAAAACTGTTCATGTATAATGTCCAAATATACGAAACCAACATTCTATAATGAGTGGAACATGTGGAAATCTAACTCTGGATGGTATTTATCAAAAGGTGTCTGTTGTCCATGTAAACATCGTGCCGGTGAAAATCAGTTTTGTTCCTATGATGGAAGCTGCATTAATGGTTCTGAACCTTACTACTATCCAAAATATCAAGGTTGCGATACTTTCTGCAATTTGGAGCAATGTGTCTGGTGTGTACCTGTACCCTTCCCTGAGCATGGAAACATGTGTGTAGTGTGCGAGAATGGATACTTTCTGTAAAAGAAATGGTAACACTGTTATTCCTGTGGTGAGCACTGCAAAGGAGGATCAGAAAAGTATAATACAAAAACAGGTTTCTGTACGGATAAATGGTTCGGAGATCGATGCAACTCTACGAGTACGACTGCCATGATGAACACTGTGCAGAGTGTAATAATACTGCAACCAATTGTCAGTCATGCTGCAAAGATGGTTATTACGGTAAATAGTCTAAATATTGTTCAAATATGCGACAAGCTGTACAAAATGTTCTAGAGACACGGGATCTTGTCTAGAGTAATTCTTCGATTCTCCGAGGATTGCATAAAGACTTGTCACATCTGTTTAAAGGATAAAACTTAGTACAATGTTTTAGGGATTTTTTTTTACATGGTTGCAAAATGGGTGGTTTGGATTGAAGTGCAAAGGAATGTGTATGGAAGGATGTTCATATTGTAGTGTAGTTAAATGTTATAGCTCTTGTAGCATATGGAAACAATGTAGCTGCAACAAAAATGGCGAATTGAAATTAGGCCGTGTTGACGGATGGTATGGAAATAAATGCAATCTTCCTTGTCCTACCGAGTGCTCAAAAATGTAACTCAAGTAATCCCTGTATGTCTAATTTACTTGGGTTAAAATGGAAAGGAAAAAGATGCGGCTGTACTTGTGAAAATTGCAAAAGCCAACTGTGTTCAAGTGATGGGGTTTGTGATAATGGTTGTCAAGAAGGCTGGTTTGGTAAAAGATGCTTCGATAAATGCATGTATTTAAAAGGTTGTAGATTGTGCTCAGATGGTTTCAAATGTGAAAATGCGGCTGCCAAATTGGTTATAAGTTGTCTGGAAACCAGTGTATTGCTGTTTGTGATTTCTGTCTTCAAGAAGATTGTGAAGCACAAAGACTTGTCATTTACATTGGTTTTAACTGCGGTCAACAACTCCTATAAAGCATCATATGCGACACTTTTGTTTATCTGGCTGCGTAAATGGTTGCTGTGGAAAACAATGTGACCAAGAATATCCCAAAAACTGCATCTTGCACAGCAGATGCTTGCTTCAGATGCAATACTAGATATGACGTTAAGGATGGAAACTGCAGTAAGAATTGTGCTGGACGTGATCAAGCTTGCAGTTGAAACTGCATATCATGTAAACCAGGATAAAACCCTTATGTTCCATTTTGTACCAAATAAAAGTAGGGTTACTATAATAGGTATGGCGTGTGTCAAAAGTGCAGCAGTGCATGCAAGAGTAGTGCATATGTATGAACTACTGCACAGTATTCAAATTGTTGTGTAGAGGATTGGGAAGGCTTACTGTGCTATATTCTCAAGAATTAATGGCACAAAATACCAAGCACAGATTGTCAAGGTTTATGTCTGACATGTAATCAAGCAACAAAACAATGCAGTTCCTTTATTGCAGGAATATGTGACATAACTTTGAACAAAAATATTCCTCTAATTGTGAATTTGTGACCAGCAAACAATGGAGTGCCTTGTTGTATGCATTAATAGGAAAGCTAACTCTTTTTCATGTAATAATATTACCGGGACGTGTCTTCGAGGAAGTGAAGAGGAGTGATATGGAGATCGTGCCAGCACATGTACCCCGGAAAGATACCGATGGTTTATGTGAAAGAACCCAGAGAATGTGTACAGAGGAGGGAAGGAATCAATTGTAGTGGTATATTAGTTATCTAACACATTTTTTTTCATCAAATTATATCACGAGTAATTAATCTCCTATTTGCTGTTTAAGCGACTTATTGTTTTTAATCCAGACACAGTTCGTAAAAAAAATCTTCGATTTTCATTGAAGAATTTCGAAAAACATTTGATAGAAATTACTACAGATAATAATTATCATTATTGTAGAATGTAGTATGCCGCTATACCGCTTTTCCAAAATGTTTAATACCATGTTTTCTAGTTTTAAAATAATAGCAAATTGCAACCAAGCTTATGCACTTTGTAATCAATAAAATAATTTGGTTTTAAAAAGATAAACAATGTAAAAAAAAATTAATAACAAGAATCAATATCTCACAAGTATCAAGAGACACAAAGAAAACAAAAATTAAAACTTTGCATAGTTCAAGATAACTTTTAAGGTTTTTTATATACATATATTTAACGACATGCGTTTTTAAAAAGACATCACATGTACATCAAACAGAGATCTTGAAGCACTCTGTGCTCCTATTGGTTCTACCATTATTCCACAAATGAACTGTAGACACTCTAACAATATAACAACAAATGCCAACATAACATAAAATACACTTTGTAATCAATAAAATAATTTGGTTTTAAAAAAAGACAAAATGATAACACATGTAAAAAATTTAATAACAAGAATCAATATCTCACAAGTATAAAGAGACAAAAAGAAAACAAAAACTAAAACTTTGCATAGTTCAAGATAACTTTTAAAGGTTTTTTCATATACTAGTATTAAACAACATGCTTTTTAAAAAAAGACCTCACATATACATTAAACAGAGATCTTGGAGCACTCTATGCTCCTGTAAGTTCTACCAATATTCATCAAATGAACTGTAGACACTCCAACAACATCACAACAAATGCCAACATAACAACATGAAATACAGACATGTCAGTTTATATTCAGGGAAATTAAAGGGAAACTTCAAGATTTTATATAGTTTTAGATATGCAAAGTAAAATGAATATTTACACATTGCCAACAAAAAAAACTTCCAGAGAGGTACACTATAAAAGATTAAATAGACAGACAGATCAAATATCACATGTTCCAGTATAAAAGTACCAAATTGAACATACAGGTGCCTTTCACCAAGGCACCATATTATCACTGAGTGTTAATAACAGAAAGAAATGCAAAACATTTGGTTGAGATGTAAAAAACATTTTGAAAACAATGTAGAAATCAAAAGAGAATGTCTCATTGAATAATTTTTGATAAATTGAAAGAGATACAAAACATATACTCAGAAGTCCCTCAAGCATTTCAATCTTGGTTGGTGCAGAGAAACAGATTTTGGATATCTCAAAGCAAGCATCAAGAAAGGCCTGGAAGGATAAACCTGCAAAATTCAATTTAAAATACGCGAGTTTAATGGAAGTTTAAGAAAAAATTACCTCAATTTTTTTTAATCTTTTATACGAGATATAATGCTTACAAATTAACTAAACTTAGTTGTAGAATTATTCAGTATTATGTGTTATTACATATTCAGTCTCTGATACTTGACCATTGAGAAAAAAAGAACATACGTGACGAGTTAACTAGAGGAGCTTTCGTCAGCAAAGCTTAATATTTCTAAAATTTACAGGCATTACATTTTAATGTACTAGTAAGAAGTCTCTCTTAAGACTGCAGCTCTACTGCAGATCAAAATTCTGCAAAAGACATTTTGAAGATAGATCAGCCTGCCCTACAGACAAATGCAAAGATAAAATGACAATGGACACTTTATCAATGCATAAGCTTTTCTGGTCTTTGATTAGTAGAGTCCAAGAAAAAAATCTTTCCTTCTAATTGCTTACAAATGTTTGATGCCTCTGGATTCATGTTGTCCCATCTTCTCTGCAGGTCAATGTACATAATATCTACAGCTGCATTTGTTAGTCCTTTCTTGTTTAGCTGACATTTCCTAGGCAACAGTCACCAAATTAATCAATTTATAGATTAGAGTATTTAGTGAGTAACTTTAATTATATTAGATAGCTTTAAATACCATACAAGATAAAAATTATTATTTCAAGCAATTTAAAGCAATTGAATTCCTACTTTATTCACACATATTTGAAAAAGAAAAAAAATATGCCAAGCAAGCAGATAGAATCTGTCTAAAGTAACTTCCCTATAAGCATCTATTCATTATAAGCATGTTTGCAGTAAGCATGTTTTACTGTATATATACACCTTGCTGTATGGTAGTCTTTTTAAAAAAGCTTATATACCTAATAAAAGTTCTGAAGGCAGAAGAACTCATTCCTGGGGATTTTTTCACTCCGATACAGTTGATATAGACTCTGGCTGCTCTCTCTAGAATCCGGAACTGATCACACTCTTCCTGATATAGATCTGGATACAACTGCTTCAGACAACTGTCTTCTAGGTGATGTGCTTCAAGGTCCTCTGGATCTGGATGTTCCAAATGGATTTCATCTTTCAGCTCCTGATCATTATCTGAATGAGGATTTTCAATTTTTGCTTCATCTGAAAACAATAATTTATTAATCAGCTAAAAAATGTCAAGTTTTTCAAGAACTTTTGACTAGGAATTAAAATGAGTTATATGATTTCATTTACTCAAATTAACAACTCAATTAATATCTTTATAAAATTAAACTCTAAGACTTACACATTTATCTGCTGTCAAGGACATACGTTTGTTTTAAAAAAAAAACTTCAAAATCTGTACATATATTAGTTGATAATGTTTTTCAAACACATAACACACCCATATTGTATTCTTCATCAAGATGAAACTCTGACAGCTGTTGGTTCATGTGGTCCTCCTCCTCCTGCTCCTCTTCCTCTTTTAACTCCTCAATGTCCTCTTTGTCATCATAAGCTTGGATACATGTCGTCACTTCAGAAGATGGTCGTGCAAGCAAAGACTCATGGGAAGATTTCAATTTCTGTAAATGCATCATTCTCTTTCTTCTTTTCCTCTCACTGTAAGTCAGATAAACTGTCAGATATATCACAGCTTTTTAAAACATGTTTTAAAACTCTCATCCATGCAATTATCTTGTTTGTTAACAAGCGTACCAGTGTTTTCTTTTGTGTGGTGACATCACTAGGAGTATCGTGTCCCTTATGAGGGGGAACTTTACCTCCTCGTCCTTTGGGTTCCTGACATATTTCATTACCCCCGGAGAAACCTCTTGTTCACTGTCCATATAAAGACTGGGGCTTCCATTAATCTCCAGGAGGATGGGTTTTAAATCACTGAGAAGAAGGATGTCAAACCCAAGTACCTGTTTAACATGTTTAATAGAATTATAACTTTTGATTTTTGTATTCATGCAGTTGAACTTTGGTATCTCAACATTTAGATTTGTCAAATGTCAGTGCTGAATTTTCAAAAACTTGGGATGAGAAAATTAATGAGTAAATTTAAGAAAATTAATAATAAAAAAATCTAAGTATGGTCATTTTTAGTCAATCAGTCTGGAGAGGGCAAACAAACATTTTTTTAAAGATGACCTGATTTCAAATATTTTATAAGCTTCACACAAACCTGAAAACATGATGGACCATGTTTCCCTGGAGGAAATGCCTTATTCCAGGCCACTTTCAGCTCTGGTACAATAGCGACGATTGTCCTACACACTACAAGTTCTATATCCTGCCACACCTTAGCACTGTCCTGTCCATTCATCTCAATCCTCTTCATTACACTGCTTAACGTCCTCTTACTACCCTCATCATCTTCCTCTGAATGACTGAAATCCTTGCTTCTCTTATTCAGAGAGTAATTGGTCAAATGCATGAAGGTTTCGTGCATGTTTTTCTTTGTAGGGCTTTGATAGGGCACAGTGGAAAACCTAGCCAGGCCCTCCTTACAGATGTAGAATTCTAAAGGTTCCATACTTTTCAGAACAACATAAATTCTGAAATCAAACTTGAAATCGTCAATAAGATAAACATTGGCCATGTATTCCTGAGCTACATGACACATGCCTCTTTTTGAGGGATAGGAGGAGAGATAATCTTTGGGTTCGTTCAGAAGAAATATACCCTCCCCACTAGATCCCCCGTATGGTTTTATGATGAAGGTGGATTTCAGTTTCTTTCTTTTTGTTTTCATATTTTGGACTTCACTAGAAAATTCTTCAAACTGAGCAGGAAGATACCATGTTCTGGGGTAAAAGTCAAAGTCTGATGGGTAGAGGTCTCTCATGATGTCCAGACATCTAAATAGGGTCATCTTGCTGCAGATATGCTCCATTTCTGAATAAAATACAAATACATTTTCATGGGAACCTTTTAAAAAAATCAAATGTTCATTAAAATTACATATTATCAATCTCCATTGTACATGTACATGTAAATTTAAGAGTTATATTATTTTTCTGTTGTTGTTTTATTGTGACATAACTGTATGTATTTTTTTTTCTTAATATACCTTATATGTTTATCCAAGATGATTAAATAAGAGTGTGTTAATTAGAAAAAAGCCTAAATCCATCTAGATCTATATAATACAATGCATCATCCCAAGTACAATGTACATCATCATTTAGACTTTATCTGAGCACAGAATAAAAATACCTACTTGCAGTTTTACATTTTTATTATAATAATACATGACATATTATGACAATTTCAAACCTGGAAATTTATTGACTTTTCCACTTGTTGCAGCAGGGTTGTCATCAAAGTGGTGCTCATTCCAGTAAATGTCACAATGTGCATCTTTTCTGCCATGAGTGTACTAAAAATAGAGGGCCTAAATATGTGTTATTCATGTTTTGAAAGCTTGAACGTGGTGTTTTGTCATACATATATACATGCATGTTTTGAATTTAAAATAATTGTAACCCATAGATGTATATTATTATAGTGTCATGCTGTTCATTATTTCACAAAGCAAAGTACATATATTTTCTGAATTTTTAAACTCTACTATAAAAGAATGAGAAGAATTTATTATTTAGCAGAGGGTTTATAAATTTATATACCTCAACTAATCCCAGATCCTTCACACACATTCTAACGACATCAGTATTCGATTTGGCTTTTGAAGTGTCAATCGTGACGGCATGTTTTGAGATACGCTTTCTTATAAACCTTGAGCGTTCTCTCCTTGGGCTGGATACACTCATTTTGACAAACTTTTTGCCAGATGATTTTTTAATGAATAAAACAAATGTCCCGTTCGTTTTAAAAGTTCTTTTCAACACATTTATCGCATAAACGACAATGATTTTCTGGTATTCATAGCCATAATGTACAATAAAAAGTTCTAAAGTATGTTGTCACCTCAAATAAACCCTTTTGTTTGTGTTTTCATCGTGACTCACACATTTCGTCCGCCATTGGACGCTTTTAGCATAACAACAGCAACATTTCCGTTATGGGAGATAACTTTCATAAAACTACGAGCAGAGACAATCACAAATATTCATATCACAGGGGCTTGCTCCCGGCGTGTAATAATCATTTATTTAAAAAATTAATATACCGTAATAATAAAACTACACATATTATTACGGTATATGAATTTTTTTAATAAATAATTATTACACGCCGTTAGTAAGCCCCTGTGATTATACTTTAAAATATTTATAATATTAAAATATTTTAGAACTAATATCTTTGAACATTCGAACGAACAACTCAATGTCCAAAAAATATGAAAAAATTAGTAAGTGCAATACATATAATAATCTCATACTTGTCTGTTCTGGGCTCTAAATAGAAATAAAATAATCTGTTCTCTTCTAACATGGATGATAACCACTATAATACTGTAATAAATTATTGTGAGTTGACTTTAATATGCTGTTGTCAGTGTTGACGTCACAATTGCCCGATGACGAGATTAAACGCAAATAATTGAATGACGTAACTACGGAAGCGTATTAGGGCCGCAGCAGTATCTTTTTTAAATTTGTTTTAACAAATTATCAATTTGTTTTAACAAATTATCAATTTGTTATAGCAAATCAATAATTTGTTATAACAAATTAATAATTTGATTTAACAAATTAATAATTTGTTATAACAAATTAGCAATTTGTTATAACAGATTAATAATTTGTTATAACAGATTAGTAATTTGTTATAACAGATTAATAATTTGTTATAACAAATTACTAATTTGTTATAACAAATTACTAATTTGATATAACAGATTATTAATTTGATATAACAGATTATTAATTTGATATAACAGATTAATAATTTGATATAACAGATTAATAATTTGATATAACAAATTAATAATTTGTTATAACAAATTAGTAATTTGTTATAACAGATTAATAATTTGTTATAACAACTTAATAATTTGTTATAACAACTTAATAATTTGTTATAACAAATTAATAATTTGTTAAAACAGATCAGTAATGTGATAAAACAAATTACTATTTTTGACAAAATTTGAAATATATACAGATCTACGAAAGCCAGGTCAATTCAAAAATCTTATTATAAGTCGGATTTCTGAAAATAATTTGTAACTGTTAAAGTTTTTGGCCAATAATAAAGCTTTAGTGGGACTATTGAGAGCTATTCCAGCAGGCTCTTTTTTTTTATTATAAATAATTCACGCATTACAAAAGAATTGAATGACTCATTAGATATTTAATTTGAAATTTTACCAAGCGCTACCCACTCAAGAATATTGTGTGTGTGTGTGTGTGTGTGTGTAATTTCGTTTTCCGTGGAAGGTTGTTAAGGTATGTACAAATGATAATTTATCTGCAAATTCATTTTGGTCAATGTTGCCTTTGTTGCTCACAGCTTTATACGGATCCATGGGTGTTCACCACAGGAGCAGTTCCAGGATTTTGGGATTTAGTTTAAAGATGTTATTCTTTATACATGAATTGGGTTGAACAGAGGCATACGAAATGTGTGCTATGACCGAACTGTTGGGAAGGGGGGGGGGGGGCACGTATGGGTAAAGTTTCATTAAAGCTTCCAATAATAAGCTACACTGTAAAAGGAATAGAATCAAGGACTTTGATGCAATTTATCATGGCATTGATGTTTGAAGTGAAAACTCTGAGCTGCTAAAAGAAACATATAGGTGAAAAGCTCTGCAGATCGTGTGTTTATTGTTTCCAAATTCAATATTTTAAAGATTTTTAATCTGATAGAGATTCCATAGTTCTGTGTTCATGTCAAATGTCCAAAAATAGTAATTTGTTATAACAAATTATTAATCTGTAAAAACAAATTACTAATTTGTTATAACAGATTACTATTTTGTTATAACAAATTATTAATTTGTTATAACAAACTATCAATTTGTTACAACAAATTATTAATTTGTTATAACAAATTGATAATTTGTTAAAACAAATTAGTAATTTGTTTAATCAAATTACTAATCTGTTTTAACAAATTGATAATTTGTTATAACAAATTGGTAATCTGTTAAAACAAAATAATAATTTGTTATAACAAATTATTAATTTGTTTTATCAAATTATTAATTTGTTATAACAAATTACTAATTTGTTATAACAAATTAATATTTTGATATAACAGATTAATAATTTGTTATAACAAATTATTAATTTGTTTAAACAAATTAATAAAAGATACTGCTGCGGCCCTAATACGCTTCCGTACGTAACAATCATCACTACAACAAACCAGACATAATGATAAACTGTCAAAGAAAAGTATCTACGTGTTCGATATTACAATGTAGCTGCAGAACTGTAGTCTGTAGCTCTCCGAAAAAATATAGTGACAAACGATGCATTTTATCAGTTTATTCAGATGCCTCGATTCATCCTGTTTGTAGAATACCAGTCAAGGACTTTGATTATGCACTGCCTTAAATTTGTAAGAGGATGCAGTCATAATATTATGTAAGTTTTTTTTGGATATTATTTAAGAGTCTTTTAGTCTAGTAAACATGCATGATTTTTTTTGGTTTGCTTTCAATCATTATAAGTATATGATAAGTCCCGACCGTCCCATCCACTTTTCAATTGCAAAAAATATTCTGTCGTCTGAGGAAGTAAGTTGACACAATCAACATCTGATATATACACAATGTAGTTGAGCTTTTTAATTTTCTTTGTTTGTTTGTTAAAATATATTTCAGAAATTACTTTTTTCCGTTGACTTCACAATTAGCATGTAACAAATTGCATGACGTAACAACAACCGATACATTAACTTTTATTTTTAAAAATTCTGAATCTGAACCAATCATGACACGGCCATTTATTCTTTTTCTATCAAAAGCAACATTTACTTTTTATGCACTGCTTGATTCTGGGAGGGGACACAGTTTCAGACTTGATTTTTATAGAATATTTCCCCAATTTTTCAAACGTGATGTAATTTATTTTAAGAATTTGGTCCTTATTTTATCTAAATATCACCAACACTTCTTCATGCGTCAATTTCAATATATTCCGATCAGACTACTGGTGTATACGAAAATAACTTAATCAATATTTGAAACACAGCCACCTGACGTTTCTTATTTTTCTTTTAATAAAAAAAAAATATACCCCTACCTAATAATTAACCGGTTTATTATTACGTTGGGGTATATTTTTTTTCATTCAAAGAAAAAAAAGTAACGTCAAGTGCCTGTGATTTGAAAGTATCATATTTCATGTGATTATTTTATTTCCAGATTCAAAAGGTCTGAGGGAGCAGATGTCTCCCGAATCTGTTAATGAGTTTAAAAAAACTCAGTTCTAAGCAAGGCTTAAAACAGGCTCTTATATTTCATACTAAATGACCCCTGAAGATGTATAAAAATTCAGAAATGTAAAAAATGTACAAATCAAATAATAAGAGAGACATTTTATTTGATTAAATATAAATTCATCTCGTTAAGGCACAGGCTACATGTAGTATTTCTTACCCATGTTAAAAAAGGATAAAAATACAATCATAAAAAGTTGGCACTATTTTACCTTTGAACATACATCAAATCCAATCCATAAAACAAATGTTTTATTTGTATATATAAACATAAATAACAAATTTGAAAGGTACAAGGAAATGTATGTACAACTTAGTATTATTTTTTTTACCCACATAATATATATATAAACGTAGAAATGTACATACATAATTATATAAAAGATAAATAACATCAAAAACAGTCATCTTGGACAATTTGAGACCTTCTAAATGTGATTAATTGATATGGCAAACCTAAGTATTTGTAGAAATGTAAACAAGGAAGACTTCTTTGTCAATTTAACACACACACACATACATACACAGACTGTACAAATGTAGCTTCCAGCAATTTACCGCTGCAACATAATAATTCAGTACTTTTAATGATCTACCTTACCACCCCAAACATGTGACATCACATCTCCTCATTTTATGCATTCACATTTTAGAGTATATTAAAGCATTGTTATATAATTGCTGCAAATACATGTAAATGTACATAATGCATTTTCATACAATAACTAAATGTCTTGTATTTTCAACCTGACATTTATGTATATGTTTGTACATAACAGACTGAAACTAAAAAGTACTCGTGTGTTTAAATTTTACAAAATTAAAAAAAAAATAATTTCATGTAGCAATGCTAATGCTTAGAGCTCCAAAATTTCATCTACCGGTACATCAAAATTCAGTATCAAATTGTTTATTGTTAATCAAAATAGATTACACATTCTCTAGGAATTTATGATCAAATATTACTTAATGAAGAGCACCATTTGAAAATTAAAATTGCAATATGCTCAGTTTTATACTCTAATAATGTTGACAACATGTAAAAACTTAATAAGCAGTTCATTTGCAAAATTGTTTTCAGGATTTTAAACCTTTTTTTCAGTACATGTACTCCTATAAAATACAGTGTACACTTAGTTCTTTTATACCATTTCAATGGTGGTAAAAACCTTTTTAAAAAATACCGGTACTTAATGAACTCTACAATTAATCAAAATTTAACTAGTTACAGTAAACTTACAATGTAAAGCTACTCAGTTTCTCCTTGGAGGTGGGGGCCTGGCTGGTGCCGAGGGTCGACTAGGTTTTGAACCTTCAGAGTTTCCTTTCCCTAACCTTTTATTTAAAGCACTAGTAAGTTCATTGTTAAAATTATTATTGCCCACTGGTCTTTGAGTATTCATTGTATTACTTTGAGTATTCATGGTATTAACGTATATATGTTCTAAATCGGCAGACATTCTGCCTCTTTGAGGGACTGGAGGCCTGAGACTGTTAAATGGTTCTGATTCGTATTCGGCTAAATCTCCCTGCATGCTCAAATCCTCCATTGACCTGCTGATACTCCGGGCTATGGTGGGTAATTCGGGGGGCGGTCTACGAGAATAAAAAGTCCGTACAGAGTCATCTGAGCTCTGACTGGCTGTTGATACATTTGACGTTTCAGACATGCGTTTGTGCTTTGCGAGTGGTGACTTTGGAGGTGCCCTGTTAGGGCGGGGTTTTGGGAGAGGGTCTGTTGAACTACCCGAGCTTTCTTGATCGGGTCTTTCAAAATTCTCATCCTCTCCATCGTCCACTTTGATAAATGGTCTCTGTTTTCTTCGAACTGTTTGACCCAAAGCTGAAACCACCTATAATTAAAAGGAATGAAGATATTTTATTTTACCTGTTGATTTTAAAATTTTCTTTTTAAGTTTTCTTTGAAATCACCTCAATTTAAATTCACCTACTTGCAACCTGGGCAAAAATTAAACTGGGGCAAAAAATTTACCTGCATATAGTAGCTGCCGAAATATATGCAATACACATTCAGATTGCAATACACTTTGTACTTTGGAAATAATCAATATGATCTATTTTTAATTTCAGTTATAATATGGAGCAACTAGTATAAATTAAGTCATCAACCTTACCCTTGCTTTGCCTAGATAATCTCTTTTATCTACATTTTTGAGCAGTTCCTTTGGTGGATGAAATATACAAGAATCTGGTAACTCTTCCAATTCAGGAGCTTCCTATATAACAATAAAATTTGTAAAGTTTGCATTGCCAGTTAGAGTTAATTCATATGGGCCAGTGTAAAACAAAAGTATTTTACTATGTGCCACCGGCTCTATTTTAATTAACATTTTAATACAAGTACATGTGCAGAAAAAAAATAATACAATAAAAAATCAACTGACCTCCTCTACCCCATTTGATTGAACAACTGCATGTTTTAGAAGGGCTTTGGATTTTTTGGTTACTGGTTTACCGCTGCTGTGTTGGTATTCTATCAACTCTTGTATTGAAGGAAAAGAAAAACCCTCAAACTTCCAGTAACTCTGTGAAATTCATGAAATGTCAAAATAACATACTGAATTGTTTTTTTTTTAGTAATTCACATTTACATATACATGCAATATTTATCAAGGTCTCTTATCACTAAGCCAAAAAAGCTCCAAGGTTCAGAATGAACATTTTATACACTGGAAGGATGAAAAGTGGAGCACCTGGCCATGAATGAGTTTCATTTTACAAAATGATAAAATAAAAAAAAAGAAAATAGAACTGGATATACATGTTTAAATATTCAAATACCATGAAAATACAAAGAAATATTTTTTTAACGTAGATATTGTCAAACTGCTTAACTTTCTAAAAATTACCCTCATATAAACATTTCCATATTAACAAATTCATTAAATATTTTTCATTTTCTTTAAATGATATATACATCTACCTCATCATCCTGTATAATGAGAATATGTCTGTATCCTTGCCACAGGACAGACAGGACGTACTGTAATGTGTTTTTCTTCTTGTTGAGACTCTCTCTGACTAGGAAATCACCTTCCTTGCGTAACATTTTCTCTGCCTCTTGCCTCGGTAGTCTACCGTGATACCAACTCTGACTGCGTAGAGAGTGTCGCCTCTTTAATGCTGAGACATCTTTTTTCATCTCCTGTAATTAATTTGCATATTGTATTGATATCAGTTATTAAAGTAAAATGGCAGTGCCAAATTTACTCTATATGATGAATTTTTAAATTCTATTTTTTTTTTCAATGTTCAATATATCAAGTACATCTATCAATTTGTATATTTTATAAATAAATGATATATGTAATATTACTTCAATCTTTCTAATTTAAGATCACTACAGTCTATCTAGCAGGATGAAAGCAGTCTTTATACATAAAATTCTACATGAAAATACAGTGGAACTTGTATTGCAACATGAACACATTTTTAGTGAGTTCATGTACACAAATATAATAATCCACATTCCAAGGTTTACTTTCCTCAAATAACTAACAGATACTAATTATGCTCAGACATAGAAGCCTAATTGAATTAGAAATTTTCAGAGTTCAAACAGTTTTTTTCTCTTTAGAATACAAAGCCTGTAAATTTATAGATAAAATACTTTATACTAAGGTTGTGTGCACTTTTACTGCACACTGTGTCAAGTATATACCAGTAATACTTCCTCACTGACCTGTAATTTTTGTAGTGCCTGGATACAGTTCCTTCTGGTTGTATCATCATCTTCCTGTTTCATGACTGCGATCAGAAACTCCTCGGCTTCTTGTCCTCTACCCATCATCTTCATCGTGGTGGCCTTGGCAATCCATATCTGTTAGGAAAATGTGGAATATGATATACACTGTTTTATCAGAAAGATGTGATTAGCAGTATTTAAAATAGATTCATATGTGATATTTTCAGATTCTTAAAATTATTTAATGAAAAAAAAATTAAGTATGAATGCCTGCAGTATTTTTATGAAAATTATGAATATAAGGTGAAAAAGAGACATTAAACATTAAGTTCTGTACCAGCATATGATATACATGTATGTATGCTTATGAAAACTGTCCTCGGTTTGTAACATCACCAATTTTTCTTCCCTATCTTTCAAGTAAATTACAGTATATATTTCAGGTGCACGTGCACTGTGTAAACGGGTCTTGTGCATCAATTAACATTGTTACTGTACCTCTGATAGTGTCAGCTTGTAGGCCATTCCTAGCTGGTTGTAATCTATGAAGCTTGCTGATCTTAGTTTCTCCACAGCATTATCAAAATCTGCAATGGCTTCTCTATATCTATGGATATATATTTTTGAAGATCTTGAGCTATTTTGTTTGCAGCATTCTGAGCTATTACTTCCAATTACTAAGGAGAATTCTTCTTAGCGTCAATTTATCTTTCATTTTATATAAATAATTACATGTAAATTTTAAACCTTTGTATCAATGCAAGAAAGGAAAGTCCATTTTCATTTAAAATTACACTTTTTAAAGGGAAAATTACTAAATTTACACTGAATATTGATTTTAAAATTCTTCTTTTGTGTGAACAGTTTACATATCTTACAGGTATATTATATGTTAATTTATTCTTTAAAATAAAACACAATAGAAAAGTAGAGGTCATAATTCTAAGCCAAATTTATGAGTACAAAAATACTCAGTGCATGGTCCATTACATGATGAACAGCACAGTATATTGTATATCCTATTACACCAATATAAAGGTGTAACTGGGTATTAAATTAAATACCTATACATTATAGTCTTATGATTAGTAATTTTTATCATAAGACTATGATGTTGATCAGCTTGAAAATAAAAGAATTTAAAAATTCAATTTTCAAATTTATGCTGGGAGATTGCTGGACCAAATACAGAATCTTCAAGAGAATATTTCCTATACATATTGATCTACAAGTAAAATTGTATTGCAGCTTTCTAAAACATGTACTCCATACCTGTGAAGCTTTGCTTCTGCCAGTCCTTTGCAGAAATAGGCAATAGCCAAGTGTTGATCTTTTTGAACTGTTTCTTTGAAATTCTACAAAGAAGTTAAAATATTTAAAAACTGTAATGTATTATCATATAATAAGACAACTATTAATGAAGTAGAAAATATTAGCTCACAAAGATTATTTTGCATTATTTAAAACAATTTTATGCAGACATTTGCTTTAATCTTGACCACTTACTTAACATATTTCTTTCATCTTTCATGAAGTTAATTCAAAGTTAATAAACAAGAAATTAAGAGCTTCATTTCAGGAATGGCTTTCAAACCAATACATGTTCCAGTTTTGTCCTTGAAATTAAATCTAAAGGGCATGATCCCTAAATTGTTAAACCAATGCCCATATTGCATACCTTTTACCCAGGGGACCTCTTTAACAGGCTAGGTACATGTAAGAGTATGAGCTGCTTTAGACAATAGGTCAGAGAATAGATTGAGGATAAATATTTAGTAATATTTACATTTGCTGTGGTTTTCTAGTAAGCCAATAGTGAAATTGATTTGAAAACCATTTTCGTGTATACTCACACATAGAAAAACACAAGGAGAAACGTGCCCTAACGTGATGTCACAATGAGGCTTCAGAGATGTTAGAAAAATGCAATGAAATAGGTCAGCAAGAAATTCAAATATTGAGTTTATTATTGGTGCTTTAAGACATGGAAAATATAAATATATATAAGGAATGTTCTTAAGTTTTTGTGTGAATTATTGGTGTGTGAATCACACAGACTTGCACATATATTTCATGAAGCGCGCTAGTGCACTAAAATTCATGAAATATGCCTACGTGACAAGTCTGTGTGATAGTGCTTCATGAAAAATATGCCTACGTGCAAGTCTAGGTTAACTCACACAAAAATAAAAAACATTCCTTAAAAGAGACATGGAAAGACAGACAGCTAAAGAATAATCATAGGAGGGTACTAATCTTTAGAATACCCACCGAGACCAAGGCATACATTATCTAAACAAGGAAACTTCATCATGATACAGGATGTTTAAGTAACTATTTGGACAAAGATTAGATCTAGGTTAAGTGTATGGATGCTCATCTCAATCCATTAACTGTGTGTTGATCTATCATCAACTTGAATGTCTGTCCTTAAATAAATTGATAGGATTTGATAATTTAATATCTAAAACTCAAAATTTATATTCTGAGTGCTGCAAAATTTTGCATCTATGATCCTATACTGATGAACATAATTAATATACTACGGAAGTATCATATGAGTATCTAAACCTAAGTGGGAAGGTTATTCGTCAATCAGGATGCAATGTATGTAATTTATAAACATAAAATGTCTACAGTAGGTTGTTAATCAACATCTGTATATGTGTATAAGTAGCAGATCATTTCATTAGCTTTTCAAATGTCTCTTTGCTAATTCACTTATTAGTGGTAATTGGGGGTGGGGTGGGGTATCCAGCAAAAAATGTGAAAACTGTCAATATTTATCTGTTGCATTGTGAATTCAGACCTGCATGGATAAAAAGACTATCCCACTCAGAACCACTGGAAAATTGTACAATTAATGCATGTCTTATTCTCATTTCAAGTGGTTAGACTGAGAAAATATTGATTGCATTGTCTATGTCTGCAATAAACTTTTATGACACCTTTTGTCCACATTGAACTTGCATCATATATTAATACTGACCTATACTTACAATTCTGTGTATATACATGTATATCTGCAACCAGGCGTTATTACAAGGATTTACCTACACTTATATAGTTTCTCTAATGTTAAAGTTTAAATATTCACTTTAGAATTACTCTATTTATTATCTTCTAGACCATTTATCACTCTTACAAAGTTGAGGTTTCAGTTATAATCAATGACATGTATATACATGTAGCCACTTACATGTAATATACAAGTATGATTCATATAACTTCACCACGTTCACCTTTTAACATGTAAATGCACTTACTTAATTCAGTCTCATCTTTTAATGAGGAAACTGAAAAAATTGTCAAGAGTATTCTCTCATTTTTTGAAAGTACTGCTGTAGGCAATATACATAAAATGATTTTTAATCAAAGAAACCTTTGCATAATGAACACAAACAACTAAAAGCCTCTTAATGAATTGCAGAAAAACAAGACCATATAATATCTCTTCTGCTCAATATTGCTGAACTGATTGTTATAAATACTAATTTAAGCAAAAATTGATTTTTCAAGTAAGGCAATTTCAAATCTTACTCTTTTTATAGCCTAAAAGTTACTTTTTATTCTAATTAAACCAACAAGCAGACTCTTTACTTTAAAGAAGGAAAAAAAACAGAAATTCATAATTAGTTTCTAAAGATACCCACAACACTTGAACAGAGACATATAAAACCATTGCTTCTGCCCACAATAAGAAAAAAAATATTTTTTAGATATACATATAATGAGTTTTAATTACTATTCTCAGTCATGAAAAAAAAGAAACATGCACGTTACATCTATACGTGTGCACATGTAGTTTTCAAGATAAAATTTATGACAATATGTGGTGGAGTTGAAACAGCTGCAGGTTGTGATGAGAGAGAGAGAGAGAGAGAGAGAGAGCATACCTTTACCGCATCCTCTAATCTGTTTAGTTGGAGATAAGTAAAGGCGATGTTGTAAAAAATGCGAGCATTCGGATTTTCGATTTGCTGGAACTTAGAAATAGCCTCTTCAAATTCCTCTTCTAGATATGAATTTATGCCATCGTTCCATGATATAATTGTGTCTTTTAGCGCCATGTTCATAAATGAACCGGCTTAAGACAGACGGCAGTTTTGTGGCTTAGCTGTTTTATGAAGTCATTGCAAGTGTTTGTAAATACTCGCCCACGTGACAATAACTTCAGTTCCTGCTTTATACCGGAAGTCATCGGCAATTTTTCGCGGGAAAAGATAAAAAAAATCTTTTAAGCCTGAGAATACATATGTCTCGGTTTTTATTTCGGTATTTTTTAGTTGTTTATTCTTTTGTTGTTGTTGTTGTTTTTTTTAAAATATAACTTTATTTCATTTTCTAAGTCAATTCTCTTCTGATAAACGTCTCTTCTAAACTTTTATTATTATTATTATTAAAAGCCCTAAGAGATTCATTTTTCGGGGGAATAAAAGGGGTGAGGGGTGGGGGCATGGTCATCATTTTGCTTAGAAATTAAATAACTGCGAAAAATTCCAGGGGGATCCCTCTAGACCCACCCATTACTTTATTCTTTTCAATATCATCACACATTGATCATTCCTATTTTTATTATTGATAGCTACTATATACATGTATACCGGCATCTATAAAGTTTGTTCTGCGTTCAAAACGTAAAGAAGGAAAAAAAGAAGGATTAAAATAAGCCTTCTTCCAATCCTATATATGTCGATTTCCTGGTATAAATAGCATGGTTGAAAAATTAAAGTAAATTTAATTTGAAACACAATCATCCAGATTATACATGTAGTGATTCAGGCACGGATCCAGGTTTTTTTTTTCGGGGGGGGGGGGGCACCCCATCAAAAAAAATTCCAACCCAGAAATTTTTTGACAAACAAAAATTTCACATGCATCCTTGTTTTCGAGGAGGGGTCCGCGTTTTCTATAGGGAGGGGCCAAGCTAGGTTCCTTGGTTTCTAATATAGGCCTACATTAACTCTTCAAATTCGGGGGAGGGGGTCCGAACCCCCGACCTCCCCACCCCCCTCTAGATCCGCGCATGTAGTAATGTTTAATTATGCATGATAAAGTAAATATAAACGGATCTATACTCAATTATTTTTCATGGAGCTATGGAGGGGTATTATTCAACTATTATTATACATGTACAAGGAGGTGTGGGGATAGGGAGGGGGTCTTCATCATTCATCATCCATGGCTGTAGGAACCGGGGAGGGGGAAGGGCCCCAATGATTTTGCCCATTTATATAGAATATGCTATAGAAACAAAGCTACTACATGTACAGTATTTGCTCAGTTGTGCTCTCTCAATCAAAAAGTCTGAACCTTTTTTTTGTTTTTGCTTGTCAAGGAATTTCGGTTGACAGTGCACCAACTGAGAATGTATGTGGATGTGCCCTCACCCCCATCTAGGTGTTATGTAGAAAAAAGGATCGAAGTCTTTTTCTTTGAACAATATCACGGTCGATCAAGCTAAACTGTGCACAATTTACTCAAAGAAAAATAACTCAGTTTTATTAGCCAATTGATTTTTTATAGAACTCATGATTATCAATTTAATTACAGTGAATTATAATTTAGTTCTACATCACATGCAAGTTTTATTAAATCTTCTAAATCTCAATCATTCATTGAACATTATTTTTTTTCTATAATGAATTAAAGTTTAATGAAATGGTGTTATATCAATTATTACACAAATATAGAAACGGGGGTTGAAGGCAACCAAGGGACGGAATATTGCCTGACGCAGCGCATTTGAAATTCGAATTTTTTACTCAAAGAAAAAAAATATGCTTACTATAAAGATGTTACAAAATGCTGTGCAAGTTACTTACAATGTAATAAAAAAAGCGCATATAATGCTTAACCCCCCTCCCCGTTACTAGTATATAATGCATAAAGTGCATTGTGATTTATTATATACACGACGAGAATTTAGATTTATTCTACACCTATAGAAAAGTATGCAATTTTTAAACAGGACATTATGAATATTTGTTCTTTTTTATAGAACAGTTTTATTATTAATTTTTAATTAAAAACAGAAATCATCATCTACATTTTAAACGAGTTTGTGGAGACTGTGTATGTACATGCTCGACCACAGTCCATTGTTCCATTTAGGTAGAAAACCCTCTCAAATCACATAGAATATACAAACAATACACAGTAACAGGTGTCTTCGCGGCACATGTCTCCACCTGTGGCACGTGAGGACAGGTGCCTCTGACTGCACAGACCAGTAGCAACGGTTTCAAAAGGGGGAGGGGGGTCCTAAGAAAAAAAATTGAAAAGCAAAAGGAAAAAACCTAACATTCAAACAACAAGCATCGAATGTTTTTTTAATTATTATTGTAATAGCAAAATACAATAATTACGCATGTAATTTTACTCAGAAAGCCTCTAGACGGAATAACCTGGCATCCACTACGGAAATCACTGAGAAACATGATGTAAACTATTGAAAAGCAAAAGGAAACTTTTTATTATTATATTGCAAAATACTATAATTCCACAATGCTTCCCTAAATAAAGTAATTTAAAAGAATTTTGAAGTTTTCCCTGTAGTTTCCATTTTTCGGACCCCAGATAATTCCATCAAGTTTCCGTCACACGGAAACTGCTACAATCACATTCCATACCGGTTCCTGGGTCACGGAAACTTTAGGAATGGTGAGGTTTCCCTAAGTTTACATCCAAATGAATATTAAAGATTCCATCGAGTTTCCATTCCACGGAAACCACTTCGTTCCTATTCCATATTGTTTCCTGATTACGGAAACCAGTGGAATCTTCAGGTTTCCCATTACGAGAAACTACTAGTACATGGAGGCTCGGGGAATTTCAGATTTACCGAGGTTGCTGTGGTGGAGGATACCTAATGGAATATCGGAGAGTATTAGTTTCCGTGCCACGGAAACTAGACGGAATAACCTGGCATCCACTACGGAAATCACTGAGAAACATGATGTAAACTTGAGGTTTCCATGTGGTTTCCATAAAGTTTCCCATGATGGGAAACACTAATTTCACCTGAAAACAGTGAAAAGTGGATAATCTTCACTTGTACCTAATTTTTTAAATATATCTTTTGAAATGGTGCTCTCTTTTAAATACTATCCAATCGTTCTGTTTCTTAAGTCTTGAGTGTATACCTACCATTTATTATTGGTACCCGTGCCTTCATGTACTATTTATCAAGTTCTATTGAAATGGAAAGAATAACCATGATTTACAACTGTCGATCGTCTTAAAATAGTACATTTTAAATATCAAACATGATGAAGCATGTAGCTGATATTAGATGATACCCGGTATTAAAAAAAAAACACAATAATTATTATTTATTGATTTATTATTGGGGAGCTCCTTCTCTTAGAGAAAATATCTATAATAGTTTTCTTTTTGATCCATTTATACAATGTTCCCCAGAGCCCGTCACAAATGTAATCTCTACCACCCTTCCCCCACCCCCCACAATAAATAAAAAATTGATACCTCTCCGAAACGAAAGCACAGATCCGCCTTTGAATAAAATATTACAACTGGATCAAACAACTATGTGTGATTTACCGGGCTGGATTGCTTTTCTCAAGTACCACGTTCTGATCACGTATACATACATGTACACTTACATATTCATGCAAGAGTAAGCTATGAAATCAACATGTATTTATAAAAATCGTGGGACACATTTTTGTCTCAAAGCGGAAGTATTGACGAGGTAAACACGAGATTTAAATGACAAAATCGTCTAGGGAGTTATAGATTCTACTCGGGGGATTTTCCTTGTTTTGGTTTTATGTGAGGGAATGATTATTAAATCGACAAATTTGATAAAATAAGAGTGCTCATTAAGATGTCGTAAGGGCCACAAACAAACCATGCGTATATAGATATCGCAAACTGGAAAAGACGGTAAGTGGTTCTAGTGTTTTATGTATTGTTGTTTATATGCATGTACATAAGTTCAGTGAGATGTAAAATGATGGATGAAAATATCTGAGCTTGATGAATATTTTTCTACATTTATAGTTCTTACTGCTGCTGATATTAATTCTTGAGGTAATAGAACCTCTATTTAAAGTTGTATAAATTTGATCATACAACAATCACATGTACATGTATTATTGTTTGTACAGCAAATATATGCATGCATCCACAGATCATTTTATGACCCAAAATGAAAAAAAAGGTACCGATCGCGAATAAAATTTGGAATGATTTAAAAATGAAAAATATAAATAATCTTCAAATTCAAAGATATGTCAGATAAAAATTAATTTAATTTTCTCACAATTCCGGCAATTAGAAACCATGAAATATCCTACTTTACCAGGAAATATCATATTACCATTGGCTTTTCAGAAAATAATGGGACACGAAATGTGAATTTATATATATTAATTTCTTCCGTAAATAAAGCATTTTAATAATTAACACTCGCTGACAGGGTCATTTGAATGGATTTAATTTATTGCTTTAGTAATTGAAAATGTAACTTGTATGCAAAGATTGATTTCTTTTTATATATTTTTTAACATAGTGGGAAAAAACCAATGAAAATTTCGATCGAAATGACCTTTGAATATGAGCAAAATTGAACTTAGTGAAAGCGATGACCCTGTTCGGGTCAAGGTCGTTGTTATTGGTGATATGTGCGTTGGGAAAACGGCTATCTCTCATAGATTTACCAAGAATGCCTTCGAAGAGAAAATAGCCCACACAGTTGGAGGTAGGTAGGATGTACCTGTACCAAACATTAGTTCATTTGCAATTAATAATAATTACATTTACCTTAATTTAGACATAATAATCGATCAATTTGAATCTATTCAGCTAGCTATTATATCCGATCTATGGAAATAGAAGACAGGACTGTCCTTTTCCAAATCTGGGACACGGCAGGTCAAGAACGTTTCAGGAGCCTCGTTCCTATGTATCTCCGTGACGCCGACATAGCTTTGCTGGTGTTCGATATTACGTCACAGGTAAATCAAAATATGTCTATTAAAATTATTCAAAACTAAAAAAAATGAGTCTACAGTACAGGACATACATGTATTCCATTTTATTTTTAAGGAGTCCTTCCACAGTTTGGAACTATGGAGAACTGAACTCATGACTAGCGCACCTGCCCACGTGACCGCAGCTGTAGTGGGCAACAAATCTGATCTGGGCAGCAAAAGAAAAATAGAGGCTACGGTAATTTCCCTTGGCTATGATTAAAATTCTTTTCCTCAAAGCAGTCTTGTACAGAGGACATGCAATCTTACAATAATACATCTCAGAATGAACAAATCAAACAGGAACAACAACAATGTCCCTATTTTAAAGACCTATTTTATATTTGCAACACGGCACGAATTTTCAATGTCTTCAAGCACTCTGCATCGTGGAGGTGATGCTCACTCTCACCAATGGCGCTTGATCCCACCTCTGATGTTTTTGCTCTGCTCCTGATTTTTACTGTTTGAATGGACCTTAGAGCTTGTATACTGCTCCTTATCTCCATATATTTTATTGAATATTTATAATGCGACATCTGGAAACCTTCCTGGTTTTGAATATCTACCTAACCTTACATTTCAAACGTGTTCGAATCATTTTTGTTATCAGCGCTCTTATATATCAAAGTTATAAATTGGAAGATTTTTCTTACTTCAGGCTGGTCGTGCATACGCGGTGAAGCACAGAATGCTCTACACAGAAACATCAGCAAAACTTGGAACCAATGTTGAGGAACTTTTCTATGACTTAGGTATTAAACATACTGCACGAAATATTTATTATACTCTTTTGTCTCACATGCACTTGGAACAGACGTCGAGGAACTTTTCTATGACTTAGGTGTAAAACACACTGAAAGAAATATCTATTATACTCTTATATTCACTTAGAACCAATATTGAGGAACTTTTCTATGTCTTAGGTATTAAACATTTTGCACGAAACATTTATATTCTTTTGTATTAAATTCTCTTACATTTGTAAATTTTGTAACTGATATATAACTATCAAAATATACTATATACTTGTATTCAGTTAGAATTTTTGTTGCAATTCAATAGATTTGTTAAACTATTTCTGGAACCTTGTATCTTGGAATTACCATTCAGCCGTTCCCATCTTATCCGCGACAAGACGTCAATTACAGTGAAACATTTCCTTTTCATGGAAATTAATTGTAGCTATCATGTTGCACTTGTATCATGTTGTAAATTTTGCATTCACACACCCTAGTAAATTCAAAAGAACCCGCGAATTAATGGCCTACAACACTCAATCTTTCAGCCCTAAAATCAAACCCTCGAACCCGTATTTGTCCTACAAACCATGAAAACTTGCCTCTGTGGATATTTATGATTTTTCAATTTAAGTAAATCTGACCGAATCTATAACATATAAATTATTTACCCTTGATAAAGTCCTTTTTTACTTACGAGTACCGTTTTGACTCCTGCTATCTTGATATTGCGAATATGAGTTATATAAAGCAAATCCCAACTCAAATAAAGTTTCCCAAGAAATGAAGAATCTGAAAGAATGGTATAACGCTAATAGCCGTTATTTTAAATGAATTTGTATTTGTTAAAGTAGTTTTTTTCTTAATTTCAGGATTGCGGTTTGCAAACCCAGAATTAAGTGGACACATAGAAAACAGCATAAAAGTTCCAGAAAAATACAAAAACATTATCAGTGTTCAAATTCCCCCAAAGGAAGAGACAGAATTCTCACAGAAATCGTGTTGCGGTTAAAACTGCATTTTTTCAAGATTTTTTTTTATGAAAAAAATCTTTATAAAAAATGTCTGTCTTTGGTGCTAAGACTGTTGTTTTGGAAAGTTTATCAGTTTGTTTTAAAAAAATCCTTACAATATGCAATTTGACATGACGGACAATTGGCATAGTACTATATTATTATTCTTTTAATTTATCAAATTACATGTAGATTAGAATAACTATACTTTTATCATTATTATTGTTCTTTAGTTAATTTATATTAAAACATACTTTTGAATTATATCTTTTTGGAAGTCACTGATCGACGTGGAGTTATCATAATGAAATTTCTGAAAATCTCTTCACATATCTATCTTAATGTCTTTTGTACTTCTTAATTAATTTTCGAAAAATATAAGTTCGGGAAAAAAATTAAACGATCATTTTCAAATTCACAGAGTTTTTAAACAACGTTTTCAAAATCTTTACGGTCACTATTATTGCAAATAAGTTAAAAGATGCTACGGTTTACATCTTTCAAATATTTCTGTGAAATATATTTCATATAGCAGTAGTAAAATTGAATCTTAACTGACCAAAATTACAATATAATATTTTTCGAATAGATAATTCCTCGAAAGGTTCACAGAAGACCAATTCTTGAACAAATTAAACATGCAGTCAGCAATGTTTGTGTTAAATGTTGGAGGCATCAATTCATTTTTTGGAATCGGTGCAAAAGTAACAAACGCTAGCTAATTATATAAAATGACAAAACTCTAAGCAAATACTGGTGACGAAGTTATGTAAACAATAAACGACTTGAACCACTCAGGAGGCTTATCATAACAGTTGCAGACTTGAGTTCGTGCAAATATTGGGGAAGTGTACGGCTGAAAATAGATCAGCATCTAAAATAATTATGCACATACTACACGTATGTAAGTAATGAACACCGTAATTAAAATAGGAGAACCTTTATAAATCTAAATATTTTTTTTATATTGCTGTTTTTCATTGGTAGCATTTGAATGTTGAACTATTTTAATTCTTCACAAAATACGTTTTGAATTTAAACACAATTAAATAACAATTCTGTCAAATTGCTATGTAGCGTGAATCATCCAGTTTTCAATGTCTGTTCTACTAACAAAATAATCTTAAAAAAGCCTGAAAAATACTTCCTTTTCTTTGCGCACACCAAACATGTTTGTTCTCTTTTATAATCATAGTAGCATAACACTTCATCCAATTCCGCTATTTACTTCCAGTCCAAATCGTTTTATCATGTTAATTCTTCCTTAAAGTGGGGTATCATGCAGTTCCATTTCGTGAACTCCCACGAGGATTTTTAAAAATACATTGTTCCCATGCGCTTGCTCAATTGTGAGAGGAAGTAAATTATATTTTTTAAAAATATTCCCCTTCTATTTTATCCACGTCTGTACTTAACAATGGATGAAATACACGTGTACCTGGCTTCACCGTGAGATAAAGTCTAAAAATATGTAAACCCGATGACATCCATCTGGTCAAGGTAAGTGTTTGTGTTTTTACACCTTGTAAAGAAAAATCTTTTGGGTTCAATGGTGCAATGATGCAGATCGGTAGAAATAAAAATACACATTTCTCATATAAGAATAAAGCTGTTCACACTTGGTTTCATCATTCGCTTCAACTTCAAGTTCAACGACATGACAAATCCACAAGGGCGATATTAAAATAATTGCACTTTCGTTTTCAGATTTCCAAATAAAAAGAGCTCATTGACAAGGAAACTGGTGTATTTGAATGTTTCTACAGCGCATTTACAGAAAAAATGATATTATAAGAGCCTCATTTTATAACAGTAAGTATATGCTTATCATTATATTGATAGACCATACGCAAAAAGTACATCTATCTCGAAAGATATGAATATATGCCCACCATCAGATGTTATATATCGGTATTCGCTTGTATCTTAAAATATGAATAAGCTATTGATAGAAAAACTTGTGGTACAATAATTTACAATGCAACAAAAAAAAACACGGAAATTACTCATCACAAAATGCATGTATACCATGATAATTCCTGGGGAGAAGCATGGACTCTGTAGAAGATTATGGATCACACATGAAAAAAGAAAACATTGACACTTTGTTTAAGTAGATTAAATATCAAATAGATGTTAAAATCTCAAATTTAGAGACCGAGGGGCTAAAGGAAAGCCATCTATCCCTTGGTCTTCAATAAATTGGTAATGAAACAAAGAAAAAATAGATGTATTGTTGAATCGTTTACAATGCAACAGAAAACAGTCTCCGCCCCCGGAAATTACTCATCACAAATGATTTGTGACACGTATATCAAAAATAACTCCGCCCACTTTATAACTTTGCAGCATCCACTGTGTGAGGAAAAGCATCCGCAGTATATATATATTTCCACGGAAAACGTAAAATACTATCGGTCAAATTTGTTTTGACAATTTAACACGTAACGAGTGATAGTCAGTCTTAATGGATGAATTGGAGGATTTAACTGTAATTGTTGTGATCTATTGTTATAATTGTAGATGGAGATTTATCATAATTTATTTCAGGGGTCTTAAAATCCCGGTTTAACTAGATTTTCATTTTCAAATTGAATTGCGACATTAAAAAAAGTGAAAGAGACGTGTGGCTGTCATCAGCGAGAAGGATTTTTTCCGTGATAGCGAATTTTCCGTTTCGTGTGGATTGTTCAAAATTAGGTACAAAGGATGTTTTCCGTTATTGCGATTTTTTTTTTACTTTCGATCGAAATTACGTGTAGATTCTGTGTGGAATACATTTTTAGAAATTGATTGAGAAATGTTGACATTCTACATTCTCAGGAAAATACCGGGTATTTCTTAAAAATTAATTATAGGAAAACATCAGTATTTATTATGTGTACGTGCTAGCTTTGCTAAATTGAATCAGATTTATTTTTAGACCGTGCTGTATTTTAGATACAGAATAGTTGGCAAATACACTGTATACATACAGGGCTAATACAGAACGGAAAGTAGCTCCGCCCACCACAGTCCCGTTCTGTATTGCTAATACAGAACAGTAAACTTCAAAGAAAAACACCGCTATCGTGTCACAAATTCAATATACATATGAATATTTATGTCCCAGCTGACAAAGCAGGTACATGTAATACCACTGTTTTTGCAAAGCTGATTGTTAGATTTGCATTTTAGAGGAACTGGGATTTTATTCTGGGGGTAATAATTTAACTTATAACCATAGTTCCCCTTCTAAGGATGTATTATCTCATCTTTAAATATTTTTATATTCCCAACAATCGAATTGAATTTGATTTACCCTATCCGCACTGGATTTCTATAAGCTAGACAGCAATCCTTAGGAATAAAAGATACATAATGGGTAAGAGTGAGTTTTCTTCGAAGTTTCCTTTTTACTCCACTTTAAAATATAAACATCGAAGAAGAAGCTGTAGAAAAAGTGGTGATAATCAAATGTGAATACTCCAAAAAAACTGTCAGAAAATGTGAAATTACAACATTTTACCAAAAACAATAACATCAAAACTTACAATTTTTAAAGCACTTTATACGAGGGTTGTTCGAAAAGTTCGTGGACGATGTCTATCTTCGTCATATTACCCACTAGAAATTTAAAATAAGCACAATCTAAAATGTAAAAATATTTGTTTTGTTGATGTGTGAAGTTTTCTTCGATTCGATTGAACAGAAATCAATTTACTTCATTTTAAAATCAACATGTTTAGTACTGTGGAGCACACTTAACGGCAATATAAGGTCAAATCATAGAATTTCTAAAAAATACTATCCCTACACATTTCACACAGTATAATCCAATATCCACTCATTCAATTATTTTTCCTAGACATTTATTTTGTAAGAATTACTCTCGTTGTATAATTTCCTTTGTTAACATTTTAATTTCTTTTATTACTTAACTCTGCTTTCACAGGATAAGCAACTCTGAGGCGCCTATGTCTTTCCTTGACGTTAAAACTTTAATTTTTGTTAAGATTTTTACAGTTTTACCGTTTCTCCACAGATTTTCCTCGTCCGTTACACAGTCTTTGTCACTCAAATACTACCTGTACTATTTGTACACACATGCACAACTCGCTATTGACATATTTTTTTTTATTCCTCCAACAGTTTTAGAGTTTATTCAGGATTTTTCCTGAGTAAAACACAAAATGGCATCGTTATCTGCTACTCCGTGACGTTCTAAAACGTCATCGTTTTTGTCGTTTTCAATGAGGACTACCTATCTTCTCAAGTTGATTTCTTTTCAACATAGCAAAATATTAAGCCATAATCTGGAATACGAATCGATGTAACAATTCTTAATTTGAATTTCTAGGTTGTTTTTCATTTTTGCTCCATTTTACAGAGAACATGACTACAGAAATTATTTAGTCTATTGTTTATTACTTGCTAAATTTTGAACCAATTTTTGCATTTTTAAAATCTGGATAAGTTTTGAATAAATCGTTATATTTGAAAAAAAAACCCAAATCATTTGGATTTATTGTTAAAATATTTCTACCCAATTTGGATAACATATGACATCAAATAAAAAAGTTATGACAGAAGTCTAGGAACTTATCGAACAACCCTCGTACAACTATTTCCAACGGTAAATTAAAATCCAGAAATCTTGACACCATTGAATGCTGCTTTAAAAAATTGAACTAGTACAATTATGTTCTTTCATTGCCATTGTTCTTTTGCAAAATCATTACGCTTAAACGTTTTGATTGTACAAACCCATTCCAAAGTATCCTAAGGGCTTGTAGATTTTGGAGATGAAGTCTTCCAACAGTACCAAAAGTATTATTTGCGCCCAGTTATAAAAGATTTTTTTCTATTCATATGAAGTCGTATTTATTAAAATTATACTTTTGCATGAAAAGAAGGTATTTCATGTTGTGGCCTCCGATTCCAGGTTTTAAAATATCATTTTATCAATCAAAACATTCATTTTCATTCCTACATGCACGTTTGTTCGAGATAATCCGTATAAACATGAAATAAAAATTATCAGAGAGTCTGACATAACTATTTGTTTCATGTTAGTATACTTTATTAAAAAAGACGTTTATAGTAACTAAACAACAACACTTTATGATAAAGGTGATGATTCATCAATTTTTTCTATCTTCAGTTAGCCTTATTTATGCTGCAATACAAATCATTATAACCTGCATATGGGGTAAATGTTAGCTGCAGATCTGTAGCTCTCCGAAAAAAAATTATTGATAGACCGGAGAGCTACAGAGCCACCCATTGAAAAAACTGTATATTTATTGCGCACAAAAAAATGCGCTAGGTTCTCGATTTATTTCTCCATTTTTTTTAAAGCTGTAATCTCAAAATATTACTAACCGTGTGTTCCTAACATATTTTTTGACTCTTTCCACAACAAAACATTCCTCATAATTGTTGTTGATAGTCCTCCTGGCCCTGATATTGCAATCATCGGACATTTCGCTTATTTATACTGCCATTTTGGTTTCAAAGATAATTCAGTCCAATATGCTTCGTTCAGATGTCAACTACGAAAGAACTTGATAGAGGAGAGAGTAATTTTTTGAAATCTTCCATTTTTTGCAATTGAGGTAAGAATTTGGAAAAATTAATCAAGAATCGAGCGCACTTTTTTGTGCGCAATAAATATACAGTTTTTTCAATGGGTGGCACTGTAGCTCTCCGGTCTATCAGTATATATTTTTTCGGAGAGCTACAGATCTGCAGCTAGGGTAAATGTCTCCAAGTTGATTCGATATGCAAGAGCATGCTCTACATGTACATACGAACTATTTCTAAAATGAGGCAAGCTAATGACAAATGAAATCATGATACAAGGATATTCTTGGTCTGGTTTACAATTAATATTTCGTAAATTCTATGGTCTATATAATGACGAGAAGCACACAGCGGGTGTGACCATTGGACCATCTGATCCCATTTCTGCAGTCTTATAAGGTCCATGTTTGCTCTGCTCTTAACTGTCTCAATGAATTTCTGAGTTTGATTCATATTTCTATCTTCATATATCATCCTTTAAAATTAGTCTTTTAAAACGACTTAGAATTTTTCAATTTTATCTGTCACCTTCTGGCTATTTAGCTGTATGTAGTCTGTTCCAATGTACTCTTTGGTCTGGTTTATTTATACTTTTGGTAATTTGACAATTTACGGCTTTTATAAGGTCATAAAATCAATGGAGAATCCCCTTTTCCTGAATAAATGGCAAATTCCCCTTTTCTTGATCTAGAAAACATGACTATTGTTCATGCTTGAGACAGGTTTAAGTTTGCGTCAGTTAACAGAGTTTTTAAAGTATTTACATTTGAATTAAAGTTTGTGCCATAAATGAAAGAACTAACTACCTTTTCTTGCTGATGATTTTTGTAGAAATGATTGAATGAAATATTTAGAGATAATAGTAATCAAGCTGAAAAGTCCATTAAACAATGTAAATCAGGAGCAGATCAAATACGAACCTCTTAAACATCAGAGGTGGGATCAGGTGCCATGGAGGAGTTACAGCCCTGCCGACCGGTCACACCTGCCATGTTCCTTGTCTTGATCGGGAAATAACGGGAAAATCCGTCGTTATTCAGTATGTAAATAATGACCTTACAATTTAATGAATAGATTGTATATCAATTTGCTGACAAGGTCATTGTTTCAACAACTATTTCACAATAATTACCTTGTTTCAGAAATTGTTCATACGAAGAGTTTGCTTTTGAGTATCGAATCAACTGAGACATACATGTATAAACCCGGTATTAAGATGATAAGGGAATATTGGTGCATATTTAAGTAAGGGAAGTTGAAAATAATCATGCATTATATCTGCAAGTCGTATGCCGAAATGCGTTTTGTTTTCTTTCGCTTATTTTATCACCCAAGTCATAAACCTCCACCGTTGTCATAACTTTAAACCTTTCTCAGGAAACAATAATCTTTTATAACTTTAAGTTGATTATTGTTTCTATTTTCAAAAAATTAAAGCTAAAACCAAACGGCACCAAAGAATCACATTTCTTTACTATTGAAGTACGAAGCCAAGTTCAGCTGAGACAAAAAAAAATGCAGAATATCAATGGAATGTGAAATTTGTTTCTGTTTACTTGTAGAAATCAACGTCTTCCTTGAAATGCGGCAGTTGCAATGAACAGGCCTAGGCAGTGTGATGACAACATCTACGTAAAAGTTGTCATCATTGGCGACAGTGGTGTAGGAAAAACTTCCGTAGCTCAAAGATTCGTCGATGATACATTTTATGATTATACTCCTGCCTCCGTGGGAGGTAAGACTTTCAAGTAAAAGTAAGAAAGAGAGATGACAGTAGTAGATCAGATCAAGTTCTTTGCCATAGCTTATTTTGGTAAGTCTCAAGTATTTTAATTGAACAGAATAATATGACTTTTGACATGATTTCAATCTTTAGAAACCAGAGCAGAAGAAAGAAAAAAAAAGTTTTTATTGAATTCTATATGTTTTCGAAAAAAATGTTGTATTGTGTTTGCTTTAAAAAATAAAGCATTTATCAAGCTTTTTTTTGCCAGTTAGATTTCAAGAGTGCTTTATAGTTTACAATCTCTTCGCTGTTTGTCCCCATCTTTGAATTTAGCAGTTACACTGTAAAAAAATATAACTAGTTAATGTCACGAAGAAAACTAGTAGATTCAATGTCCATACAATCACTACCTTAATAGTAGTTTTACCAGATACTGGTATATTTACTAGATAAGATTAGTAAATTTAGAATTGATGAGTAACTTTCACTAGGTATCTAAGTATCTATACGACCCCCGCTCCACAACTGACTATCTTAACCAATAAACTGAAAGTTTACTAATCACGGCCAACGCTTTACGAAACACACTAGTTAAATTCACTAGGTTTTTCTTTCAGTGATATATTGATTGTGTTATCTTTATATTTACAGCAAGCTACTTCATAAAGCATCTGGAAATTGAGGACAGGAAGGTATATTTTCAAATATGGGATACGGCTGGTCAGGAAAATTTTAGGGCGCTCGTTCCTATGTATCTCAGAAACGCAAAAATCGCACTCCTAGTGTATGATATTACCAAAATGGTGAGTCCGTTAGACTGTCTGTTGCCTAAACATGTTTAGAAAATATACTTTAAATAGAGATTTACTTCTAAATTTTGAATGAATACGGAAAACAAATTCAAAATTAATGTTATTTATGTTTAACTACTGCCAATGTTGAAAATATATGAATATAATTTTATTCATGTACATTATTCCTTTCAGAGAAGTGGATGGGCTTTCGCCTACTTCTATGGATGTAGGCGAAAACTTGTCCACTTCTAATGTACATTTATATATATCTTTTTTGGAATTGTACAGTGCTTGGACCCTTGGACATGTTTTAGTTGGAAAAATGAAATTAGTTAAAAGATATTAAAGAGACCAACTTTGAAATAATTGTCTCCATAATCTCTATAGATCTCGTTCCTGAATTTAGAAGTATGGCGTTCAGACCTTCTTCTAGCAGAGCCAGGAGTTACAGTAGCGGTTATTGGTAATAAGTCGGATCTCAAGGACGACAGACAAGTTGAAGTCAGGGTATTGTTTAAACAAAATGTTGTTTTTAATGAATTTTATATACCTTATAGAATTTAAATTCACTATGTCAGTTTCCTAAAAGTTGTTTCAAGTCTTGTTTGAAAAGCACTATATGTTTAGAACAAGTGCCAGACAAATGTTGTTGATATGATATTTTATTCAATTTAAGACGTAGTAATAATGCTGTTACATACTGAAATTCATTTGCAAATGAATTGGTTTATAAAAAGTTAAAAACACATAGGAATATTTTTTTTCTCTATGGAACTTTAATTTTATTTCAAACCTGTCATTCATTTGACCATTTCATATGACACTGTAATCCATGAAATGAGGTTCAACTTTCTCTTTTTTAATTTTAAGAAAGGCCAGGATTATGCTAATAAACATGGTATGCTGTTCACTGAAACATCTGCTAAAAGGGGGACAAATGTAGAAGAAATATTTTTTGAATTAGGTAAAATATTTGTACAAAAGATTTAATTCTTAAAGTAAAGTACATTATATATATTTATTTATTATAAAGAACTATATGCGGTATATTCAAATTTTGAAAACTTCCTGAAATGTGCTGAATTCAATAAATTGTATGAGAAATATAAATTAACAGAAAATATTATTGTGTCAAAGCAGTGTATTCACAATTTTCACAACTAGTCCGATTTTATATCCTTTTTCAGAAAGAGGACAAAATGGACAAAATTTCAACAATTTTAGCTATAAAATTTATAGAGCGCAAGTTTGTTCAGGAACAATATTGACATACATGTATTTCATTGATATTATCATTTTACACATTATATCAAAATATTGATCCTGAACACACATGCGCTCGGTGACTTTTACTCAAAATATCGAAAAAATATGTACATTTTTCTGTAAAATGCATAAAAAACTGAAATTTACGTCATGTTTGTGACGTCATTACGTATATATGGCGTCATTACTTATATATATATATATATATATATATATATATATATATATATATATATATATATATATATATATATATATATATCTCCATCAAAGTTTGATTTGGGGGGCAAATATTGGTTATAACCGAATAAAGTTCTTTAATCAAGTCAATAATTTACTTTGATATAAGTTAAACATTTGAAATATGTAGTGATTATAATTTGATTTATCTTGATTTATTGTTAAAAATATATAATAAATAGAAAATTTAATTCTTGAACTTAGTTAATATTGTATTCAATATCTTTTAGGATCCCAAATTGTTCAGCAGAATATAAAGGAGCAAAATATCAAAACTGTACAACTTGGATTAAGTGGTGAAAGAGAGAAAAAACTAAAGGATTGTTGTAATTAAAAAAAAACAACAAACACAACCCCTTTTTTGTACAGTAATGCACACTTATAGCGAAAATCCTTACAATGAATTGATTCTCACAGGAAAGTGTTTTTCATTTCCCATGACTTTCAATTATTTTGTACACTTATTGGATGTATCAATTTGATTTACGCTTATAACGAAGCAAAATTGTCCATCCCTTGCATGTCGTTATAAGCGTGTTTTACTTAATGTAGATTTTGCGAAGAGTAGGTGTTATCCAAAAGTGACTGAAACAATATGAAGTTTTAATTATTTCAATAAACTTCAAAATTTAAAGACAATATTTTTTGTAACAGATCCAGTAGGAAGCAATATTTGTTAAATTCTTGGCAAACACTATATGTTAAAAATATGATATAAATTTTGTTACATATATAGTTTTGTATATCCTATTAATTAATGCATGCTTTTGCACTTATATGCCTTTGCATGCATAATTATTCATATGAATAATGTTATATTTGTAAACAAGAAATAATGTTACAATAAAAAAATCTTATTTTTCTTTTTAGATCTTTTTATTTGAATACTTTATAAAAATGTTTTACCACCAAAATCCCTTTTTGTAATAGGTGATTTTCCCCCAAAACTAAAAATGCTTTTAACATAATACATGTACATGTACATGTATATGTTTATTTTTAACCTAGGTGGCCTTAAACTCGATGTTTATATATATTGACTTATTTACAAAATCAGTATATCCTTGTGAACTTGAAATAAAAGATCTGATACATGTACATCAGAGTCTAATATCTATTTAATCTTTGGATATTTAATTAGAAAAAGTTGACAGTGGGTACTTAACATCAAAACTTTGTGATAAGACGATCTTTAAAAAGATGTTTGGTTTCCCTTTCCCGACCGACTGGCTAAAAATGACCCGACTCAACTTTTTTTAAAGAGGGATTTTTGTCTGGTTTCTGACTAGAAGAAATATTCAAATATTTGCTTATTTGTCTTATATATTCCAATGTGAGAGTTTTAAAAGGTCGTTTTTTTTTCCTTCATCATAATTGCACAACTTTAGAAATGGTAAACTGAGTTTGAAATCTAGTAGGGACTGCTAGTATATTTTTGGCGGAATGGCGGCGCATGAAAATATCTTCTTTATTGCTTCTCAAATTAAAGTATTATAGAACAATGAACTTATTTATAATTTTTACACAATCAAAGTCACGAGAGGGCAAGCAAAATTATTTTAAAGATGGCTTAAACGCGATGTCGATTTTATCATATTTTTTGTTATCGTAAATTACCCTTACTTAAAAAGCAATTAATTTCTTTTTCCTAATTGTTTTGATACGCAAGAGTGTGCTATACGAATGAGCAATTCCTCAAAAGAAGCAAGCTAGCCATTAGCAAAACAGTTGATGACACAAGAATATCAACAGACTAGATTAAAGTGATCACTTCGCAAGTTTTTATGGTAAATACAATGATCATATCGGCAAATACCATCAAACCTTATAAAGGTCGAATGACTTTTTCGTTCTTATTGTCAGGCAATTATTTATACGAGGGGTACACACTGCATATGAAAACCACAATTCAGATTAGAATAATTCAGTACACACATAGCCATACACAAGTTTATAAATAGCATATGCTGAATAAAGTTTCTCTCCTTGTTTGTGATCACAATGTGAAAATGACGCACTATTTAGGTCACTGTGACGAAAAATGGTTGTCTCAGTCGAACTCGTTCAACAAACGACTGTACAATTTATTGCATATCTTAGAAATCCCTCTACAGTATCATATAATAATTTGTAGACAGTTTATTGAGATAAACTAGTTCCTATAAATTCAATTAATGATTGGATTAATCGTTTTAGTGAAGGAATGCTGATGGTTAAAAATGTATTTATTGCCCAGTGAAAGCAAGTTTGAAAAGATATGTATTTTTAATCATGCAATTTGGTATCAAAGACCTCCAATTAGGACTTTGAAAAATAGTTGAATATTTGAACAATGATATAAGTATTAAATACCTAAGATATCGTTTACTTTAGATTTTAAACATATTAGATATGCAAAATCCACCTTGAAAAAATGAAGATTTGTGTTTAAATGGTCGCCATGCTTATTTTTGGAAAGGATATTCTTATCAACCCATTCTGTTGCCGAGATATGATCATTTCTGACAAATGAACTGTTCTTGTCATAAAAATTAACTCACATGGTCAGAAAAATCTGTCATATTAATGACAATATACGTGATTCGCGCATGCGCAGAACGGTGGTTGATGTGCATTAAAATCGGAGAGGAAATTAAAATATAATCAACATTAAAACCAAATATTGTTTCTTGTATGGAAGTTATTCAATTAGTTTGACCATTGTCTACAGATCGTTTTTAATCAAAAGTCGGGTGTCAAATGACTTATATTTCTTTTTTTGTGACATCATGGCAAAAACGTGGAAAAAATGAAGGTGACGTAATGGATATGGTATTTGGGCGATCACTAATTGTACAATACGGTATGTCATATTAATGACAATTACAGTAGCGTAGCTTAAATGAAATTAAAAAAAAAACTTAATATTCCTTGACCTTGAAATCTATTTTCAAAATCAAATGACATATTTTTTTTTATCTAGAGCATACCTTAAAAGTTAACAGTTTAAAAAGAAGTACAACTCTACTTGCTGATTTAATTTGCTGATTAGAGTATTTGTGTAAGAGAGCATAAATACATGTACTCAGACAGACTTTTTATTCCCCACATAACAAAAAGTTTCACGTGCTTTACTATAATATATCATTTGATAACAAATTTAAAATTTCTGATTATAAAAACCATAGCTTTTTCTATACAAAAATCTTACGAAGCTCATTTTCGTCAGAAATTACAACAAAGTTGCAAGAAAGATGTACATGTAATGAACTTTTGGTTTTTTATTGTTATTCTAACAGAGATTATATGAAATACTCAAAGACTGTGAGAGGTTAACTCATATCTCTTTGTTGGTCAAATGGAGTAAAGCAGTTAATATTGTACGAGTCACAGTACAAAAGCCGCTCGTGTGCAATAATATGTAGAGAAGAAACAAATCCTCTGTGATTAAAAATAAATTCTTCTAGAGTATAAAAAATTGGAAAATCAAATGCTTAAAAGCATGAGCGGAAAGAAATTCTAGATAAAATAAAGCGTATTTGCTGTGAATAAGTGCAAAATTAATGAAAATATAAGCTATAAATAATTCTCAGGGGCAATATAAACAAACATATAAACCAGGCTTTAAGGCAACTGATTCTACATGGAAAAAGTTTCTAAACACAAAATAAAAAGTAGGACGACAAATAAGGCCAACGAAACACATGAAACAGTAGTCTAAAATAAAATAAAATGCTTAGTGGTAATCATGGCTAGGATTTTGCATAATCATCCATAATGTTACTAATTTACAAAAGCTTGGCATTGCATTATATTTCTTCCACAAAAAAGCTTCAGTATAAATGAAAACAATTTCAAAAAATCTTCTAGTAATTAATGAAATGGAGTGGTATGTGTTTCTTTACAATGACATAATTTGTTTATACACTGCCATTCCGTATAACACAAATTGATGTGTCGTCGACAGTCCCCGGGTGTTACACATCCTAGAGAAAGAGAAAAATTAAGAATGATATATTTATCATAGTTATTATCTAAGTGTATAAACATTGACCTTTACATTTTAAATCATGCTGCTTTGTAAAAACTAAAATGATTATGTTTAGGTTTATGTCCGAGTACCCTATCATTCTCAACACCAGTGATTTCAGGAATGGAGGTGGTTCGAATTTTTGCCAGATGAATTGTTTGTAATATATACATAAAAACCGCATGATATTACATCTGCATTCACCAACAAAAATCAAGCAGTCAAACAAAAGAATAATATCATACTAGTAAGTGGATTTGACAAATATTGTCGTTAAAGGGATAAAAAATTTGTTTTTCAAACTAAGCGTTGAATACGTAACAACAGCTCATAAATGTTGAAAACTTACTGGCAGGTTCTGTAGTGGTTGGAATGGTCGTGGTCGTTGGTGGTGCTGGTGTACTAATGAGTTGATCTACATTAAATGTATGTAGATAAAATTAAACAAAGTACAAATGTAAACATGCATTTAAGAAATAAACAACAATGTTAAGAAGTTCTCTGGGAAATGAACTTTTAGTTGGTCACGTGATCAAATCCTGTGAAGCCCGAAGGGCTTCTCAGTAGATTTGATCACGTACCAACTAAAAGTTCATTTTCCAGTGAACTTTTTAACATTGTTGTTTCATACTTATATTTACATTTGAAACGAAAACATTTTGAGTTAAATTGTATTTATTACACGAACGGGCCAACGAACTGCTATGTAACGACGCGCAATAACCTAGAAGTTGTTTGGTCAAATCGTGTTGTGATCCGGTCGCGCTATGACCTCTGACCCCCAAATGAAATTCACACAGAATTGAACGTATTTTCTCTTCAATAAGTTCATCTAAGAAAGATATTTGCAAATGTAAATATTAGTGCTTAATCTACTTTAAAATCACTAATTTACGTGGCTGGTTAATTTTCGTTGTTTTCGAGGTATGGAGAACCCAACGAATTCATGACCACCACTAAATGTAAAATTTTGCATGCATTACTACTTAAGTTAACATTCTCCAACAACAAAATCAAATTCCCCCAAGCCAATATTTTTTATCGAACCTGGAAAATTTAACCCCACAAAATATGTGATTTTACAGTATTAAATGACATTTATTTATGTTTGAACTTAACCTGGATTAATGCCTCCAAAGTCTCCACAGGTTGGAAAGTTGTCTGGAACCTTTGGTTGGTTTTCGAAAGATTCATTCAGAAGAACAGCAATTCCATCTGCTACGAGTGGAAGCATTTGGTAAGAGATGGCCCACATCCCTGGGTTATCAACCTTGATTCGTGCTATGACGTAACCACCATACGGGAGTGTAATTGTGTCCTTCAGAGGAGGATCTGCGAGATTCAAACCGGTGTCATTTCCGTTGAACCAATCTGGATCGCTCCATGTAGCACCATTACAGTTTTCATCTTCAGTAGTGTTCCCTCCACAGTTGATGTCGGTATTCTCCGAAATATACTCTCCAGTAGTTTCATTGTAGTTTGCATATCCTACCTTTAAAACCTCGAAAGAATGGCCATGCATATGAATTTGAACATCCCATCCCTTTTGTTTTCCCATGTTCAAGAAAACAAAGTTAATCGTGCCGTTATAGTTTGCATCAATTATATTGACACATGTACATTCATCGTTGTTCTTACATTCTTCTGTGGAACACAAACTTTTAACGTGTTTGTAATGGGATTTTGCTGAGATAGGGGGTAATAAGTATTTCATGGGGCCAGAAACGGCAAAATTTAAGAAATATTCGTGTAGAGAACCTTCTGAAGAAGGTGCATTGGATATGAATGCCGTCGTTGAATCTATAGTTAAACATTGAAGTTCTGGCTCCATGGGAAAAGACTTGACTGGACAATTTAAAATGGCACATTGTTCTGTCGGTGTGCACGGATTCCTCGTAGAAGATAAAGACACAAACATTTCATCTGCTCCGGCATAGTGCAGCACTGCTTCAGCAGGTATCGAGTTGATGACATTTTGTGCCACTCCGCGAATTTTGAAATTACCAATATCTGCCTTGGCTTCCAGTATAAAGTCAAATCTCTCTCCGGGGTTAACTATTACAGATTCTACATCAACTGGTTTGATTAAACGAGCATCAGAAGACACAACAGTCAATGTGTGGTTGTCCACAGAAACTCTGTAAGAGTACATAGAAGCTGCATTTATAACTCGAAATCTGTAGAGTTCGCCTTGATCAACATCAAATACCTGTATTGGTGCTTCATTATGCTTTCCCGTATCAGGGTTATAGTATCTTCCTCTGCCATTGATCAGAGAAGAATGTGCATTCCAGATAGAATCAAACGTTAAAATTTTACTTGATTTGAGATTTTCCCCTACCTCAGAAGAGAGAAATTCTCGGTCTGCATTAAAGTCATGATTCCAGTCCTGCAGCTGTAGAATGAATTCTCCTGAAACATTCTGCAGATGTGAAGGAGGATTTCGTTCTCGCACTACTAATGCCCCGTACAACCCTTTTCCCCTTTGTAAACCTGATTGAGAACGGTACCAGTAAGTGCCGCCCTGACCGACGTTGAAAGTATAAGTAAAAGATTGACCAGGATCAATGGGACATTGCGACGCATAACTAGCTCCATCCATGTTTGGCGTGCCTCTTTGTTCTATCCCATGCCAGTGGATGAATACTGTTTCTGACATGAGGTTATTTTTGACGTGGACAACAAGAATCTGATCCTCATAAGCTATGATTGACGGACCAGGTAAAGAGCCATTTGCTACAACAACCACTATCTGCTTCTCAAATCCATCTGCTGTGATAACTTCGCTAATGTTAACAGGCACAGGTAAAATGGGGTCTGCGGAGTATTTATAAAGAGAACCATTACTGGGGTAAACAGCTTTTTCCTTCTCATGAAACATGGTCAATTCTTCGGTAATTACCAAAGAGGTTTCGCAGATGTTTGCATTCTCATCGCATTCAAATGAGGAGACGACATGCAGCAGGGATAATGCAAGAAGAAAAATCACTGCCGTCTTTGCCATCTGCATGAAATCAAGAAACATTAAGAAGAGGGGAAAATCCCACCACGACCTTGACAAACTTTAAATTTATTTTAAAAAAAACAAGAATAGAAATAATATATTACTTTCAACACAAACTGCATACATAAATGGAAAGTTTTATTTTTATCTGTCGAAATAAAATAAATAACAACTGACTGATTTATTGTACGTTGTTTGACGCCCCTTTGAAATTTTTCCACCCATATAGGGACGTCACCAAATACCGGAAAAGGACTTTTTCTCGGCATTCATTGCCAGTTTGCAGTGAGGGTTCTTTATCGTACCAATGCCTATCGTGACATGGGGACCGAGTTTTAAAGGTCTCATGCGAATGACCCGCAACTTTCACTTCAAAGTGCAGAACACTTGGTGAAGGAACAGTTGATACCTATTTTTTTTTTAAAAATAGACTTAGGTCAGTCGTGGCATTGATTCGAAGACACAACCTTTTGATCATGAAAACTTCGAACAGGTGGAAAAGAACTACGCACGCTAATTCTAGATTCCCGCCTACATTTTATAACCGTTTAATTCAATATTGAGGAAAATTTGGCCATAAAATAATTTTTCAATACAAAGAACAGTTCAATGGTAATTAATTAATTATTTTGATACCAGTGCTAAATACCAGAATATCCCGAATTCCAACCTTTGAAAAAAGGGGGGTAGACGATAGTTTCCACTGAAATCAAGCTATAAATCATACCATATTTTGAGATAGGATTTGATGTGAATAAATGTTTCATAAATCTTTTTTAAGGTATTATGGATTTAAAATTATTCATATATATTACTAAAATACAATGTTTCATTTGTAAAGCACTTCAAAATAGCTGGAAAAATAAGCATTTTTGTCGTTTTACCAAAGTTTTAGAATTATCTCTCGTTGTTTTTCCAAATAAGTAATTTTTTATGAAAATCCATATAAATATCAATGTAAATACTAAAAAATCATTTGAATACTTAACTTTTGAAAATTGACTTGGAGGTAGGCGGGAGAACAATACTATCGTTCGTACTTCTTTGAAATAACGCCTTAGTACTTTGTCGGTGTTTGACTATTTGGTGCCGTTGCTTAATTAGAAATATATGACTTAAGAAAACGTTGTCAATGCATAGGTTTAAATGCAAGAGTGATTTATACCATAGCATACTAGCTAAAATTGGTCCATACATTTCAAAGAAACATGCAATGCACTAATGTACTTTGCATATGAAGGCGGATAGCAGTAATGAATAAGACAAGACTTTATACATGTAATTAGACCAGGCGCATTAGTGATGATTTGTCAATGACTGACTTGAAAAAAAAAAATTTTCAATGTTTTCTTTCATGAAATAAAAGACCTACCTTTAAAAACCTATACCAATTTTTCAAGAGAAGGTTCAAAATGTAAAGACGTACAAACCAGTTGGGGTGTTTATATATTACGCAAGATCCCTGTAATCAGACACCATTGCAATGTTGCTAAGTTTTTTGTTCCTATAAATACAATTTTTATCAAAAAACTCCATGTCAAGCTTTTTTTGTTGACATAGACAATTTTTGATGGCAAAATTAATGCATCAACGTTTTACTATGACTTCCTCTTAAACTTAATAAAAGGACATAAGCTTGAAAAGTGGTCACGGACAGAAATTTTCATCAATTCATTTTGACTAAATAATTTTGTGATCAAAATTACAGTTCTCAAAAAAAGATGCTCTTAATGCAATTTTAATTTTGAGCTATTTCATGAAATTGATATGAATCTAACCTCTTTAAACTACTGCATGCCTCTTAATAGTTTGTTGTCAGAAAGGAATGCATATTTTAGTTGCCTTTCTTTCAACTAAGCCTCCATTGTTTTAGGGAATATTGTCTGAACGGATTTTAATACTTAGTTGTTCCTTTGAGAATTTAGCCTATGAGTGAAGCTTGGCTCACCACAGCAAATATTTTAACAGAAGATTGTATCATTTAATTATTACTTAAATAAGAAAGATTTTTATATATTTGAAAATTCCCTTTCTGAGAAATGATGAGTACCCCAGATGTTCTTCGTTTCATTTTTATTATGCTTTATTTGCATTGCTACTTAAAGACTTGTAAGCCTGTATGCACTTTAATTTATATCAATTCATGTCGTCTTCAATAACTTCTATGATTTTTTGCTTGCAACTAGCTTTGAAGATTTAAATAGAAAACAAAGCAAATTGTTACATTTTATTATTTATTTTTCATACAGTGAATTTCTTCGCGACTAAAATAAATACTTGAAAAAATGACTTTTTTACAGATGTGTGGATTTATTTACAACGGCATTGTTCCTGAATGCATTCCCATTCTGTATAACATACGCCAGTGTGTCGTCTGCAGTCCCCGGGGGAAAGACACCCTAAAAAAGAGGAAACAGTGAGCAAGCATATTAATATTAAAAGTCCTCAGAGATAAAAAAAAAATAGTATTACGCATATGTTTATCTAAAGTTATAGCAAACGATAATTTATCGGCTGTAATATACCCGTCGATATTGTAAATCATCTTTTGTTTTACAATAGAAGTAATGAATTTGATAATGACGTCATTTATTGAATTATACTCACTGTATACGTCAGTTATTGGAGTACATGTACACAGGTTGTTCTGGCAGGTGAGGGTAGTGTGATGAATACACCCCACATCAATACATTGGTACTTGCTGACACAAGCTTCCCCGGCAATCAGGCCTAAACATAAATAATTATAAGTAGAAAATAATAATAAAAAAAATTAAAATGTATTTTATTTCATTAAAAAATATATTCGATTGTTTATAAACCTGTCACATATAAGCCATAAAGATTAATTATATAAAAATCAATCACTGAACGTATAAGTTTATTGGAATTGACGTACTGGGTAAACAAATACAAAAAGTAATATTTTAGTTCTATTTTCAAATGAAGGATTAATAGATCAATTCATGGATTTTTATATTAAACCTCAGTTTTTAAATCATACCAACATTTATACAGCTAAAAGCGAAGTACCAGTTTTAACAAAATGAACCAAAGAATTTGCAAAAAATTCTTATCGTACCAGCCCTTGCTACAATTTCACCGGCAGCAGACTTGTGACTTTATTTGTACTGCCGATCACTTCTATGATTTCGTACTATTAGTTTTGACTTTACAAAGATTCAAACTCACAACTTTCCTAAGCTTTGTCGATGAGATTTTCAAAGAACTCAAACATTTGTTTATTTAAGGTCATTGAAAGCTTGGAATTGAGCTACTGAAGAGGATCTTTTGAAATTGTCTTTGCTGATATTCATATAAAAAAATCATAAAAATCAATAAAGATGAATTTTACTTACCAAGGAATGAGAGTATGAGAGCAGCTGTTAAAATCTTCATGCTAACGTTGATGAAGAAAACAAAGGAATAATAGAGGTCTAAATACTGTTTGACCTTGATTATAAGTACCTTATCGAGTTTAATACACCCTGACTCTTTGTCAAATCAAGTGGCTTGATGACCAAATTGTTTCTTCACTAAGATACCAATTTATTTTGTGGTCAACGTTCGCATTTTGCCATTTTAGGACTTCATAACAAAGCTTAGTTCAGTAAGTATCAACAAGTTAACGTTACTTTAGTTCATTATATTTGTTGATACTACAGCATATTATCGTTTTTTTTTAGATTTGAGAAAAGATGACGAAACTGCATCTAAGTGTCTTTGTATTTGCTGTGCTTTTTGTTGGTAACGTATATGTAGCTTACTCTTATAATATTATCATTCTCTTAAATAAATTGCCACTTCTAAATGGAAGTTCAATTTAATGACTAATATTGTCACTTCTGAATGAATGCATTATTTAATGACAGTTAACTAAATAAAAATTGAATTTGCATTTATAAGACTGAAAATAAAAGAAACGTTAATGTTTCAGGATTTCTGAAGTCTGAGGATTGTACGGTAAGCAGCGGCTGTATAGACACGGTGTGTAACCACCAAACCAACTTAGAATGTGTTCACGGCATCTGTACTTGTTCACCACCACCCTACGACCAACGTAAGTAAATCCTACCACAAAGTGAATTCTAGAATATAAGTAAATGATGTAACAAATTACATTTATGTAATTGTAGTTGAATTCTACTTTAAACGGGAGTAAAGTAAAGAAAAACACATGAGTTTTACATCGTAAGTAACATGTTTTTATGGTAATACCTAAATATATTCTATGGCATCAATACCAGTAAGAATTCTGCGATATACAAATGTGATTTCTGTGAGTCCATTCTGTAAAACCTCATTAAAAAATTATTCCAATTTATTACTTAAAAATTCTCAATTAGTTTCAATATAAATTCTAAATCATTCAAAACCGAAGGTATCTGTTGAAATCCAATGATCAAAACTAAAATGATATCGATTTGGATACTAGGCAATCACTTTCTTTTCAGTTTTGTTCACATTGCGTAAATGTAATTCGTTTTAAAGCATTTTAAAGACGGAGATTAAACTTTTAACTGAATTAAGATACCTATACGTTCTGTTTAATGATAAATGCTTACATTAAGAGTAAAGGTCTTCCATAACCACCTCAACAAAAGAATTTTCAAGATAGTCAGACTTCGCACTTACCCGTTTGTTGCAAAAGTAGGTCGATCTAACCAGGTATACCTTAAAGAATTCCAAAATAACTGCGGATTTTTGTACACATTTTCTATTTTTACTAAACAGGTGTCTTATTATGTCTAAATAGGGATCTTAATGTTAGGTAACACACTGTGAAGAAATAATTCGACATACTCATCAAATTTTCTCAAGTCTGTTTAGTCTGGTCTGTTTGGTGAAGATTGACTTAAGAAATTGCGAGAAAGAACTACGAACGATAGTATTGTTCTCCCGCCTACCTCTAAGTCAATTCTCAAAAGTTAACATATTCGAATGATTTTCAAATTTTTTTTATAGATATTTATATGAATTTTCAATAAACGTTACTTATTTGGGATACCAAAGAGAGATAACTCTATAATTTTGTTAAACTTGTGTTTTTCACTATAGAAATCAACAGAAAACGGAAAATATTTTTAAAACATCTTTCCCCCCCGTGAAACAAAAATTCCTTTTTCCAGGTAATATGGACTGTCATTTTACAAATTTATGCCAAAGCTTTTTGTGTTTCACGGGGGGGGGGGGGGGGAACATATGTTTATAGACAAAAAACGAAAGAAATGCTGATTTTTCACCAATTTTAAAGCTATTTACAACTAAATAATTGTATTTTATTAATTTATATATGTTTTATTTATTTGCGTAAAACATAAGAAAAGATATGAGATACATTTTATCATATTTAAGACTATTTCAAAATATGGTGATTCTTGAAAGTTCGATTTCACTAGAAAATATCGTCTACCCCCCTTATTTCAAGAGCTGGAATTAATGATAATTTACTATCTAGCACTGGAATTAAAATGATTAATCAATTACCATAGAACGTTCTTTGTATTAAACAAAGATTTAATGGCCAAATTGCCATTAATATTGAATTTAATGGGTGCAAAAAGTAGGCGGGAATCAAGAGTTAGAGTTCGTAGTTCATTGAGTCAATGACCGCTTAAGATTTGACTGATTATTTAAACTCCATGACACATTTACATGTAACGTTTGTAGCAATTTTCAAATACATTTTATATTTCATTTTGAATGTTTCCAATTGTTGTCATTAGTAGCAGCTACAGTTCTGATCTTTTGATATGTTAATGAAATGCTATCGTCTACAAATCTGATGAATATTTCTTACTTTCAAATCTCATATATTGACTTTGTAATTGAATTGTGATTAATTTTTTATGCTTCCAAAGGCGTTCTTCAATTTATATTCTTCAACAATCTCATGACAGTCATTTGAATAAATCATGGGGATATTCATCAATAAAATTTGATCTGCTGACATAAAATCAAAATTAAAAAAAATCAATCAAATTATCTCTAGCTGTAATGCATATCTTATAAAACACTCTTAAAAAATTTCATAAACTATTGTGACGGATAAATACTACTCATTGAAAAAAGTATTTCAAAACAGTACACATCGATAATACTAGTAAACAATTGTATCACAAGTGTTGATTGTAGTATCCTTGCCACCCCTTTAAGAAAAATGATTTTTCAGTAGTTTTAAATCATATTTAATATATCATCTTTGAATCATAGGATGTTTGGAGAAAGGTGATTGTGATAGACATATCTATGACTGCCCCACAGACTGGAGATGCATCAATCAAAAATGTAGATGTGGCAATTAAAGGTCCAAAGGTAATTTCTACAAAAAATTTAATGTTCTTTTAGGAAAAATCTCGAATTCATTGTAGACAATATCTTACTGATGGAAATTCATAAGCAAAACATTATTTTAAAAAGGAATTAATTTTTGTCTCTATTCTTTGCAGAAGACCTCCCGTCACAGATGCTCATTATCAAGTTTTCGTCAATTTATCTGAAAAAATAAAGAAAAGCGATTTTTACAATGTGTTCCTGTCGACTTCTTATTATAGAATATTCAGAAAAAAAAATTCCTTTCTGTTTTCAAATGTGTTAATATAACACAGTAAATAATGTTATCATTGAATCAATTGATGAGAATTTTTTAAAAAAGAAACTATCACACGAAACATAGTATGAAATGGCAAGGTAAATTTGTAAATATTACATAAGAAAATAAAAGAGACAGAAATGTCTTTTTACATGTAAAAAAATGAAGATAACGAATACTGATCGATTAAAAAAAATCAATAAAAAATAAAAATTATTTGTTCAAAGGGAATTCCAGAGGTGGGAATAGGTGCCTAGTAAGAATCCCCTTTAACTGGTCACAATCGCAGTGAGCTTTGTGAATTCATGAAGGACTCACCGTCTAGTTTGTTAGATAAGCAAGGGCATCAACGATAGTTTGAAAAGTGATGCCTTATATTTCCATTTCATTGTGAAATAAAAATGTTAATGAAGATTTAAAAACGTTAAAAACTAATAGATTAAAAGTACACTAGGCCTCCCACGTTAATTTCAATAGTTCCCGTCCAGACCTCAGACACAAAGACAGCCGTACGAAATTTACATGCATATTAGACTTTGTTTGGCTCCTGGCCTTTTGCATGTCAAAATTTACATACCGGGAAAATTGTCAAGAAATCAAACCACCTAAACTTTCAAAGACTTATCACAGAGAAAACAAATGGAAATGTTAAAGGATGCATTGTGTGGTTAAATCTAATATAAAAACAAAGGCCTAGCATTATGTGTTTGACAAAACTTCCGAAATACGAACAAACGATAGGTTACATGCATATCTGCTAACAAGGTCATTATAATGACCATAAAATATACGAAATGCTGACTATAAATGAGATTGTTAAATTCCTGTAACATCAACTTATTAATGAGTATTATTCCTTGCTTTTAAAATTTGAAAATCGAACTCAGAACAAACTCTTGAGTAGCGAGTACATAGGGAGACATAAAGCCATAAGCAAGTGATATTGATTTGTGATACTATTAAAACATAAATAAGGAATGTTGACGATAGAAATGCTGAAATCATCCTGTTTGTGATACGATGCAGTTGTTAGTTGGCTTGTTCTTTAAAATACAAAAAGAGACCAGCGTGAGAGGGAATTGGACGGTCTCAAAGAGCTAAAGCCACGAATTATCAATATCCGCCTTTAATTTTAGACAAAAATTCTAAAATCACGAAGCCTTTCATATGTTATTTTGTAGAGCACAATGTCATGGTACGCTACATATAATTTTTTGGTACACAGGCCATCGTCTTTAGCACATGCGCAGAGACAAGTATACCTATGAAGTTAAAAACTGCCTAAAAACGCCGATTTTACGGCAGTTATTTCGAAATTTGAATGTGGCCACACTCAAGTACCCTTTCCAAACTTTGCATGCATGAAAATATTATATATAGGCACCTTCATGCAAAATATCCTAGAGGTACTCGCGTGTGGCCAATATGAATTTTACATTTTATGAATGTTGAGCTTTCAGAAATTAAAGCAAGATCCTCCATTTCAGTAGTAATTATATGTTCATTATATGCGTAATTACCCTAAATTAGTTATTAGTATATCAGATTTATTCTTGATAATCATATTATCCCATATTTGTCAATAATTTTGTGATAGAATATCTTAAATTGTCATTTAATATGTGTTCTTTCATATAAAATTTAAAATTACGCTCTTTTCTTTCATGCTTACGTACATGATACAATGATGACGTCATAATCTGACCGTGAGGTCTACTGCATCTGAGCAAAAATAATTTGAAGAAGTTTGTCAAAATAATTTTATAATTAGAAAAAGGTGTTGAGAATTGATTTGTGTCGAGTTTCCAATATGTTACCAGCACTAGATGTTGAACGTAATACTTGTTTTAAATCTTGTTTATAAACATAAAAAAAAATGCCTAATCCGAAGTTGATATCTAAAATTCATGCAACTCCATGTGTATTCTAGGATACATAAAAAGTAAATAGTTTTATTTGTTTACACACTGATATTTCGATTGAAGAAATATATAGCATTTATGAATAGTATGCATTTAAGATTACAGTAAATGTTAGTTAGCTAATATTATTTTAAAACTCGAAGCTCTAAAACGCATGCCCCCCTCCCCCCCCCCTCTCTCTCTCTCTCTCTCTCTCTCTCTCTCTCTCTCTCTCTCTCTCTCTCTCTCTCTCTCTCTCTCTCTCTCTCTCTCCACAGCTTTCCCTTCTTTATTAACCTTTTACGATGTCTTAGAACTTTTTCTTTGGCATACCTTTAAAAAAATAATACGACGCAGATTTTTTTCCTGAAGGAAAAAAGAAAGAAAAATTTATTGGTAATCTAATAACTCTGAAATTGAATAACTCGGGATGATCTATCTGCACACGTATACATTATAGAAAAAATACGTCTCGTAACCACAATAGAAACTGGTGTCCGAAATTCTGTAGCATCTGAATGCATTTTGAGGTAAATACCGAGGTTACCCGATTAAAATAAAAAGGTGTCAAATGTGTCCGAAATTCTGTAACATCTGAATGCATTTTCAGGGAAATACCGAGGTTATCCGATTAAAATAAAAAGGTGTCAGACTCACGATTTGCACACATTTAATGAATAAAAATAAACATGGATTTTGAACCCTAATTTATCTTCTAGTAGTAATTGGTTTGCCTTGCGGCTTTCTCAATCACATCTAGTGATCAGACATAACATGGATCGGACATATTACTGAATTATCTACAGATAGAAGAAAATATCTGCATAAGTGATGTAAAGCGTTAGGGAAGACAATTATTAAAAATAAGTGATAAAAAAATTAAGCTTTCATTTTCACTCCATTTTATATACATAACACCTATATATCTCAGTACAGTGAACGCTAATTGGGACATATTGTTACTTAGGATGCCCCTCCACTATGACTGATAGTTAGATTGGTTTCGCTTCAAATATATATAAAAAACTGTAGCAATGTAGTGATTATCACGGATAAAGGAGCAGGAAGAGAAAAAAAAACCGGCGATAAATAATCTCCTGGAAAAGTAGAGAAAGTGGTCGAAATATAATTCGTCCCATTCCCGGGTACATGTAGTACTATTCTAACCATGCTGAGTGTGCATGGCGATTTTAAATATTTTTACATACAAACGAGTCTCAGTTTAATATTGAAGACAAGCAACAATCCTTTGTTGATTAAAATACTTGATTTTTTCAACAATAAACATAGGCGCAGATTTTTTTTAATGCAGTACACAATAATATAATTTAAGATTAAAGAATTAAAACGCTTGTCTTACGTCACCCCCCCCCCCCAAAAAAAAATAAAAAAATAGAAGTGATAGCGATATGGAACATGAGAATTAAAAATACACTGTATAATTTTGCATAAAGGAAAAGATACATACCTGAAAGAAAAAAATCTAAATCCAAATACGTGTGATATCAATATTAACTAGCGGAATATGACATACCTGGTAATATAACTAGGAAAACTCGAATTTAGGGCTACAATCTATTATACTCATCTTTCAAATCAAATTCATGTTACTTGCACCCCCCTTTTTTTTCTTTAAAACTTCAAGAATTCTGGAAGACATATATTTCATTGTCAAAATGCACGAATAATCGGGGGTCCTCACATAGACAAAAACATACGTACCCACTTTGATAATTCTATTTCGTTATAATAGGCCCAGATTATAGTTTAGGAAAAAGATTTAACCATTACTGCGCCGGGCTTCACTTTATATTTATCCTGTCACAAAATTTCAAATTTTTTTAGAATTTATTACATGTATATCAGATAATAATTATGTCATATAATGCAGTGACAGATGTCTAGAGTATTAAATACTTTTAAAACTACATATTTAAATAGAGAACTATTGTAACGCTCGGGTGTACAAAAGTAAGCAGTTAATGTTGAATGTTCTATAGCAAAGGACTTTTTACGATGTTATGACGTTTCGTTACAAATAATGACGTTCCTCATGTAAATTTCATTCAAAACAATGCCATACTGTCATATCTCTTCTTGAAAAAGTATTATAGATATCTAAAAAAGGAAAACAGTTATGAAAAGCTACAAGTCTACACTATCTTTATTGAAATTCTCATTGATTTTTTAGTTAAGGCGTATTTCGATGGTTCGTGGCTTTAGCTCTTTAGTAATCATACATTAATTGTTTTGTTACTCTACATGGTGAAAGTAAAAACCGAAGTCAAGTAAGTAGATCTACTTTTAGATATGTTTCAGAGTATTTATCTACTGGTAAAATTATTTTGTTGACTCCTAAACATCCTATTTCTCTTGCTTTTTGGGTAACATAGCTTCATTTATTTATCACTTTAAAATGTATTTTGTTTTTTAATACTTATATTGATCCTTTGTAGTGTTCTAAGAAGAAGGTATGGTTTTAGCTTTATTGCGCCCTAAAAATGTAATGACATCAAAAAGTTTTGAAACTGGCTTAAATATTAGTTAAATAAATGACTCTGATAAATCAGGAAAGAATATGGCATGAAGGTTTACCATTCTGCAAATATGACGTCATTAATGTGAAGCATTTCTCTATTTTCAACAGAAAAAGCCTCATAATGGCATATTTCAAGGGTGATTTTCCTTTAGAAAACAGTGTCCACAGCTGTCGCCCACATTAATTTTTTGATATTTTGTGCAAAATTCAATAACAAATCACATATCTCAAGATCTTTGTGGGCGATGCCTGTGGACAATGTTATCTGAAAGAAAAT